GTGCAGGAGCAGGGTGGTGGTGTTCTGATGTGGCTGTCCACTGGGTGCACTGGCCCTGGGGTTTCCTAGATGGTTCAGGCCAAGGTCAGCTCCCACCTGTGTTTTGCCAGGGGCAACCTTTCTGAGCTGTAAAGCAATCTGAGATGTCTGCTGCTTGTGCTGGGCTTGGAGATTCCCAGGTGAAGCCAAGCTGTGAATCCAAGCTAGCTACTATTAGTACTATGTCTTGGGCCACTTAGCAAAAGGTCTGTGGCCTGGGGGCTCACTGAAGTCTGCTGTTGCTTGTTTGATAGGATTTAGGAAGTTGTGAAGCAGGAGCCAAGATCAACCATTCATATGGAAAAGTCTGTGTTAACAGCTTGAGTGGGCCCATAAACTGGGTGGGACTAAGTGTCAGGGAATCTCCAGGGCAGGGCAAACAGTGTTAGCCAGATTGATATAGTCTCAGATATGGCACTCACCTGCTGGCTCTGTGGCTTTGTGGGGAGAGGGTTCAGAAAAGAGATAATGGCCTTTCTGCTTGGGAGAAAGATGTCCTCCAGCTCTTGCCTTGATGCCAGACCCTTCCCTTCCTCACTATATGTTACTAGTACCTTTCAAGCTGCTGCTCCAGTGATGGAGCTCAGAAGGAGTGAGTCTGAGTAGGTGAGTCCATGTACGGGTTCTTTAAAAGGAACTGCTTTGGACTCTAGAATTTTATTCCGCTGACTGAGGGCTGATTTTTGCAGCCAGAAGTTATGGGGACTTATCTTCCTGGCACTGGAACCCTGGACTGGGGGGCATGGTATGGTGCTAGGACTCCTCATTCCTGAGATATCGCTCCCAAATTTTTATCCACCACACTTGGGTGTGGGACCAGCCCTTTGGACGTCTCAGCCCCTCCTGCTAGTCTGGAGGGATGTGGTTTCTTTAATCCCATAGTTGCCAGACTTCCATCCAACTCTTTTACTGATGGTTCTGAGTAATGGTTGTTTTATAATTTAGTTGTAATTTTGATGTGTTTGTGTGAGGAGGCAACCCATGTTTACCTATGTACTATCTTGACCAGAAGTCCAAGGGCAGGGATTTTTGTTTCTTTTGTTCATTGATGTGTCTCAGGTGCCAAGCAAATTGGTAAGTACCTTGTAAACATTATTATTTGTTGAGTGAGTAAATATATTAATAACCAAACAAGTCCAACTAATACAATATGTACCTATCTAATGACATTGTTATGAGAATTAGAAATTATGGATATAAAGTAAAGCTCAAGCACAATGTCTGACTCATAGTGGGTAGTCAAATGTGGTAGCTATTGTCATTTTGCAAGTTCTCCTTTTCTCAAAGAATTTCCAGGCCTGCAGATAACTATCTATATCTAAGAACAGAAAAGTCTTACTTATGAGGCACATACTAGGAAATGATATTTGGATCTGTATTTATGTAGATGCACATTTTGTTTGCCAAGTTTTTGTTTCTTGAGCATTATTTTTATCAGACAAGAAAATAAATACTTTTTTAAAAAAAAAGAATTTTGGTTCTTTCTGGGTAGCTCAGTTGGTAGAGCGTCATTCCAATATGCTAAGGTTGCGGGTTCCATCACCATTCAGGGCACATACAAGAAGTAACCAATTAATGCATAAATAAGTGGAACAACAAATTGAAATTTCTCCCTCTCTCACAGTCATTAAATTTTTTAAAATTTAAGAAATATTTTAAAAAGTATTTTGGCTTGGCTTTGGGCAGGTAGGTGGGGGAAAAAAAAGAATGTTCTGAAGATGTTAGGTTCAGTAAAGGTTAAAGAGGAAGTAATAAGGGATCAGGAGTGTCACTAAGATGGAATAGCACTGGTTGAAAAGGAAGCGGTAGAGAGATGTAAAACCACAAGGTTAATGCTGCCGGAAATAAAATTGCTTAAACTTGTCTGGGTGGGTGGCTGAAAGGTAGCTGGGGAAGAGTAGAAAAGTACTGCTGCAAGTATTCAAGGTCGACAAGTAATGTGCCTTAAGTTGATTGAATTTATCATTTTTCCTAGTCCTAACATGATGAGCTACAAGGAGAGCTTAAGCACTTATTTCTCTCAGTATGGCCGGGCACAGGGACTGTTTCTAGGAAGTACTTGTTCCTGGGTTGTGGAGTGATTGGATGGAATAGGATCTCAAGGACTGTAAGTGGAGTTAAATGAAATGGCAAACTGGAAAGTGCCCAAGCTTTATTTAGAGTCAGCTTTAAATCTCAATTTTGTCATTTACCAGTCATGGGACCTTAAACAAGTGACCAACTAGCACAGGAAGTAGGACCCCCTAGAAAGTAGGGGGTTAGAGAAAAAATAATAAATATTGTATCAAATCACACTCTTTAACAGACAAAAAACAAACAGAAAATGAAAGTTCTCAAAAGCAACTGATTTTGAGCAAACCCAGCGATTATACATTTATATCACCTCCTTATATCACCTTCTGTCTAGGAAAACTTGCTGTTAGGACAGATTTCCCCACTAGTCTTATAAACACAAGTTTTTAAGCCAGCCATCTCCAAGTTGAAATACAAGTCTTTCACATGTATGCTGTTTTTGTTATTTTACCCTCTTGTTTCGGTTTCACAAGTCTTTACAAGAGTCTGTTCTTTTCTCAGATACTGGGGCTTACAGGTTTTTCTGGGCATGGTCCTTCTGTGCAGATAGACGGCCAGTATACCTCTCTATACTTTCCCCCATAGGTCTATAGGACAAGGAAGCTATTTAAAATTTTGGGTTAACTAATATAAAATAACTTTATATCAAAACTCTGATTAACAAATAATTGTTGGCAAGTGATTAAGAGCATAAATTTTGGAACCAGGCTCTATTGCATGGGTATTTTTCATCACTTTCTAGCTGTGTAACCTTTGGCAAATTACTAACTCATTCCTTTTTTCCTTACACCCTAAGGTTCTTGTGATATTTAAATGAGTAAATATTTGTAAAGCCTCTAGAAAAGTGCCTGGCACACAGGAAAACTAAGTGTTTGCTAAGAATGTTTTGTTCACCACTAGCCTACTATTTCATGCTGCTTGATTATCTGCTTCATACATCCTTTATAATCTATATAGGTCTATGGCTGGGTTGATATAAAGTTATGCTGGCTTTAGTAGTGGTAGTACTAGTCCTTTTACCAGTTAATTGCATGGACCACGATTTTTCTTTTTAAGTTTTATTTATTGATTTAAGAGAGAAAGGGAAGAAGAGTGAGAGACAGACAGGCAGACATTAATTTGTTGTTCCACTTATTTATGCATTCATTCTCTGATTCTCGTATGTGTTATGACCAGGAGTGGAACCTGCAACTGGCATGTTAGGATTAACTGAACTATCCAGCCAGAGCCACGAAGAGCAGGATTTATAGGGAAGTTTGGATCCTGCCCCAGAGTGATTAAGGTGATGGGGAGATGCCTGCCATTTTCTCAAGATATTACCACCAGGTAGTATACATGACCTATCTGGAGAAAGTCCAATCATTGTTAATATAACGAGAATAGTTTGCTCAACATCAATGTAACCTGGCAGCCAAGGAGAGTGAACTCGAATGTGCATGCATGAACAATGACGACTTCACTGCGCTAGTCACAGGGGTGGTAGACGCCCATGAGTGAGAATGTGTATTGTGTGGCCATCACATTCAAAATGACTGAGCGAGTAGAGCAACGAATCTGCATCAGACTTTGCATGAAGCTTAAACATTCCTCGGTGGAAACTATTCGGATGATTCAGAAGGCTGCAGCTAGGGGCAACTGGCGATTGACAGCTTCATCGTGACAATGCATCCACTCATGCGACACCCATCTCATGCAGAATTTTTTTGGCAAAATATCAAATTACCCAGGTCACTTAGCGCCCCCCAACAGCCCAGATTTGGCACCCTGCAACTTCTGCCTTTTCCCAAAACTAAAATCACCTTTGAAAGGGAAGAGATTTCAGATTCTTAATGAGATTCAGGAAAATAACACAGCACAGCTGATGGCTCTTGAGATAACTGTGTGAGGTCCCAAGGTGCCTTCTTTGAAGGGGACTGAGGTGTCCTTGTCTTATGTACAATGTTTCTTGTCTCTTCTTCAATTAATGTCTCTATTTGTCATAGTGCATGGCTGGATACTTTCTGGACAAACCCCATAAGTCCTTGAAGATAATTTTTTTTTCCTGAACAGATTTGATTACACACAGAGGGGATAGGGCTCAGTGCTTCACTGTTGCCTTCCTCTTCCTCATAGCTGCAAGGACATTGCTCAGTTCCTCTCTTCCTCTGCATGAGACCCACATGTGTCCCCACATTTTTCCTGATGACTTTTGAAGATAAATTTTAGGTAATCATATTGGACACTTCCTTTCCTCTGGGCAGGGAGTTGCGATGGAGGGAGGGGTTGAGGATTCTTTTGGAGAGAAGTTTTAAGTCATCTTCTGTATGGAAACCTGAAGATAGGCTAAGAGTTCATGGATAGGGTCCCCAGGGCCCTCTCACTGGCCAGCAAAACTGTAGAGCCTGTGAAATCCAAGAAGACGCTTTCACCTCAAATTTGAAATCATTTCAGGGTTTTCCAGTTCAGGCTCTTGCTCTTAACTGGGAAGATCCTGGCAGCCTCCTGGCCTTTTAGGTTTCTTTTTAGTTTGGGGCATCTGAAACATCGGTAAGCCTGTGGTATTCATTTGAACGAAAGTACCCTTCCTGCTACGGACAGTGGCCTGACTTCCACGGGTTGTGGGCCACTCTTTTCTCGTCCTCTCTCTTATTAGTAACACCCTTAGTTCTGTTTCTCGCCGCACGCTCTGTTTCCCGTAAACGCCGCGGTGTAGTCGAGGTCCACTGGCTGGTCTTTGCGCTTGCGCAGGGGGCCGGAGCCGAAGGGGCTGCACTGTCCTTCCCAAAGGGCTGGGCTCTCAGTACGCCTGCGCAGAATCCAGTAGGCTGGTATAACTCAAGAGGACTCGCTGCCAGCATCGGGCTGTCAGTGCGCTTGCGTGAAAGCTGCACGCCGCGGTCCTTGACTGTGCTGCTCCTTGCGCCGGGCGCTAGGTGCGGTCATGCAGAAAGCCGACTCTGAGCAGCCCCCCAAGCGGCCCCGATGCGATGGCAGCCCAATAAAGCCGCGAAACACCCCTTCCGCAGCGGTGGAGACGTCCCCGGGTCCGGAACTGCCCCTTGACTATCAGAGCTGGAGCCCGGAGCAGGTGTGCTCCTTCTTAAAGCGTAATGGCTTCGGCGATCCCGTACTGCTGGACCGCATCCGAGGTAGCGGGGCTAGAGGGCTGAGGATCTGAGGGACGGCGACCCGAGGCGGGGGTCAGCAGGCCTGAGAAAGGGCGGCCCGGGGCAGTGAGCAGGGGACCTCATAGAGGACCCGAAGCGGACAGGGGAGACCTGATGCGGGAGGCACCAGAGGGGGCGGACCCTGGGCACCGGGCGCCCAGGGAGGAATGATCTGAGGCGGAGAGCTCTTCTGAGAAGGGGGCCGGGGCCGGGGAAGGGAGACCTGCCGCTTGAGGCACCACGGAGGGCGGACCTGAGGCGCGGGGCCCCCGGGAGGGATGACCTGAGGCGGAGAACCCTTCTGAGAAGGGGGCCTGGGGCGGGGAAGGGAGACCTGCCGCGGGAGGCACCACAGGGGGCAGACCGGAGGCCGGCGGCCTGGGGTGACAGCCCTGTGATGGTGGAAGGAGAAATGGAACGGCAGGGGTAGGGGTCTCGTAGGAAGGAAGCAAACTTTGGCGGTCATGAGCTTGGGTGTGGAGTAGTCGGTTTAACTCTGGTGGATTTCTAAAGGAATTTGACACCCCAGCGCTGAACAGGCGAGACTTGGTTCCCTTTTTAAAATATATAATCTTTATTGTATTTTTTCTGTTACCATTAAGTCTCCTTATACGTCCCTCCCCCCCAGCAATCACCACCCTGTTTTCCATATCTATGAGTCCTTTTTCTTTTTGGCTCACTCCCTCCACCCCCTTGTACCCCCCGCCCCACCCCGCCGTAGCTGTCATCAGTTCTCCATCGGCTCCCTTATTTTAGTTATAAGAACATTTTCCCCTCAGACCTTGATCAGAGGATTGCTGTCATTCAGATTCACCTAAATGGAAACTCCTTCTGCCAACTCAGCTCCTTGAACACTTGCGACATTAGAGTGAGTTTTGAGGATTTTAAGTTTCTGTTTCCTGCACACCATTCCACCAATTTGGGAATTTCCTAAAGGGGAGGGAACTTTTTGGGTTAACCTCTGAATCCCCATCCCAGTTAGGACTCAATACTTATTTGTCAACTACTTACAGAGCTTGGTATTGATCATGTTTTCTTCTCCAAAAGCAATTTCTTTTCTTTTTTAATTTTTAAAAATTTTATTGATTATGCTATTACAGCTGTCCCATTTTTTTCTCCCCTTTATTCCCCTCTACCCTGCACCATCCCCTCCCCGAATCATTCCCCCCTCCTTCGTTCATGTCCATGGGCCATACATTTAAGTTCTTGGCTTCTCCATTTCCTATACTATTCTTAACCTCTCACTGCCTATTTTGTATCTACTATTTATGCTGCTTATTCCCTGTACCTTTCCGCCATTCTTCCCCCTTCCCCGCCTCTCTGACCTCCATTTCTCTGATTCTGTTCCTGTTCTGGTTGTTTGCTTAGTTTGTGTTTGTGTTTGGTTTGTTTTTTTTTTAGGTTCAGTTGTTGATAGTTGTGAGTTTGTTGTCATTTTATTGTTCATAGTTTTTTATCTTCTTTTTCTTAGATAAGTCCCTTTGATATATCATATAATACGGGCTTGGTGATGATGAACTCCTTTAACTTTACCTTATCTAGAAAGCACTTTATCTGCCCTTCCATTCTAAATGATAGCTTTGCTGGATAGAGTGATCTTGGATGTAGGTCCTTGTCTTTCATGACTTTGAATACTTCTTGCCTGCAAGGTTTCTTTTGAGAAATCAGCTGATAGTCTTATGGGCATCTCTTTGTACGTAACTGTCTCCTTTTTTTCTTGCTGCTTTGAAGATTCTCTCCTTATCTTTACTCTTGGGTAATGTAATTATGATGTGGCTTGGTGTGTGCTTCCTTGGGTCCAACTTCCTTGGGACTCTCTGAGCTTCCTGGATCTCCTGGAAGTCTGTTTCCTTCACCAGATTGGGGAAGTTTTCCTTCATTATTTTTTCAGATAAGTTTTAAATTTCTTCCTCTTCCTCTTCTCTTTCTGGCACCCCTATGATTTGGATGCTGGAACTTTAAAAACTTTCCCAGAGGTTCCTAAGCCTCTCCTCATTTTTTTGAATTCTTGTGTCTTCATTGTGTTTTGGTTGAATGTTTATCTCTTCCGTCTGCTCCAAATGGTTGATTTAAGTCCCGGTTTCCTTCCCTTTACTGTTGATTCCCTGTATATTTTCCTTTATTTCACTGTGCATAGTCTTCACTTTTTCCTCCATTTTGCAACCATACTCAGCCATTTCTGTGAGCATCCAGATTACCAGTGTTTTGAACTGTGCGTCTGATAGGTTGGCTATCTGTTCATCTCTTAGTTCTGTTTTTGGAGCTTTGATCTGTTCTTTCATTTGGGCCATATTGCTTTGTCTCAGCACACCTGTTAGTTGGAAAGGGTGGAGCCTTAGGTATTTGTCAGGGCGGGGCAAGCCAGGTTGCTGGATTGTGACGTTTTGTGGGGGGGAGGGCTCCAAGAAGGAACAATGGGGCTTGCTTGACTCTCAGCCAGCTTTTAGTCCCTTCCCCTGCTACCAACAAGCAAATCGGGCCCTTCACGTGCTGATTCTCAGGTGGGTGGGCTTGTGTATGTTCTAGGACCCCGTGGGTCTCTCCAACGCACCCTGTTTTGAGGCTGGGAGTTTCTCCTGCTGCCGCAACCCCACAGGTCTTTACCTCCAGAGGTTTTGAGGCTTTCTTTTCCTGCCCTGGAATCCTGGGTTGCCTGGTCTGTCTCGCTCCTCAGCTGTTCCTCTGGTTTATCCACATGCTAATGTGGGACTGCCAGGTCTGCCAGCTGTGGTCTCGCCCGCTCAGTCCTCCAGCAACCACCTTGCCCGGCGTCCTCTCCACCCTGGCTGCCCGTCTCTGTCTCTGCCCCTCCTACCAGTTTGGATGAATGTTTCTTCTTTAGCTCCTTGGTTGTTGGACTTCCATACAGTTCGACTTTCTGGCAGTTCTGGTTATCTTTTGTTTTTAAATTTGTTGTCCTTTTGGTTGTGTGGGAGGCAAAATGTATCTACTGATGCCTCTATCTTGGCCTGAAGTTAGATTTCCCCAAAAGCAATTTTTGTTGCTAAATCTGGAAATTGAGGTGTTCGGTTGACCACTGAACTCCCAGCAGCCCATACCTTGGCCACATCGCATGGGGAGGTGTACAGGTTGTGAGTTTTTGGGTTTGGGTTTGTTGATTTTTCTTTTTAGGTTTTATTTATTTATTTATTTTTAGAGAGGGGCAGGGAGGGAGAAAGAAAGGGAGACAAACATCAGTGTGAAAGAAAAACATCCATGGGTTGCCTCACATAGGGACTGGGGACTGAATCCGTAACCCAGGCAAGTGCCACCACCAGGAATGGAACCAGCAACGCTTTGCTTTTCAGGATGATGTCCAGACAACTGGACCACACCAAGCCAGGGCAGGATGTGAGTTTCAATGGATTTTACCAGCTCAGTTTTCCCTAATGGGTGTGAAGCTTATCATATCTTGCTTTAACCTCTGAGGTGTTCAGTAGGAAGTTGATGACATTTGCATTTTCTGTAAACTTACAATCACCTCAGGTCTTGTTTCCCTAGGCTGGGGGACTAGGGTGGAAGGAACTTAATGATTCAATTTAAAGATAACTTAATGAGTATAGAAGTTGTGCTTCTCTTTTCCCGTTTCGCCCTTTTATTTTCTTCCACTACTGGGATTGGGATTTTTCTTTAAATAGCAACAAGTGGGGATGAAGTAGTTTTATATTTTCTGTCTCCAAAATGTGATTGGCTATATTGGCTCTCTGTTTCAGCGGTGTTTTGTAGATTAATTCATCAACTTTCAAAATTATCTTTCTCTTGAGTCCACAGTTTATGCTAATAGGAGACCCTGCACACTTTTAATTGGTAAAAACTGATCAAGTGTTCACCGTTGCCTATTTATTACTGTCTGCTTTGTCTTGATCAACTTTTAGTCAGATTTCTCTTTCTCCTTCAGGCGCCTGAACTCTTGCTTGCCTCCAAAACTGAGAAAACACTAAAAAAGGGGCATATGCCCCCTGACCAGCTTCTCCTGGAAACCAGCTGGCCACAGCAGGACCCTGCCCTAGCAGACCTCATTGGAGTCTCTTCCCCTCCAAAGATTCTGCTTCTCTCTGCTTGTTCCTCATTTAGTCTATTTTTTTTTAATAAACACCATTTTCTGTTTGATATTTTTTTTTTGAAGATTTTATTTGGGGAAGGGAGGGAGAAAGTGGGAGACAGACAGAAACATTGTTGGTTGCCTCTCACACACCCCCAGTTGGAGACCTTACCCAAAACCTTTCTGTGTGTGGTTTTTAGAACAATTGCCCACCCACTGAGCCACACCAGTCAGGGCTTTTTCTGTTTGATTTGAGCTGCTTAAATATTTCTTAGATTAGAATGTTCTCCCTATTGCAGTTGTCTTTCTAATTAAAGTCTCTCCCTATATAAGTCCAGATTTGTTTTTATATAACAAAACTAAACGCAAGGTGCTGGGTTCCTTTCCTCATTATGGAATAGTCTCACAGGAACTCTCAAATTTAGAGGCTATAATCCTTTTTTCTTTTTTTTAATATAGATGACGTGTTTGAGGTCCAAAGATGTTAAATAACTTTCCGGAGGTTACATAGCTAGGACAAAAAGCAGAGATGGATTTTTTCCTCCTTTTTGTTGAATGTATTGGGGTGACACTGGTTAACAAAATTATACAGGTTTCAAGTGCACAGTTCCACAACACAGAGCTGGATTTTAAGGTCAGGTCTTTAGACTCCAGAATTCATGCCAGCTATACCTTAATGAGTGTTCTCTCAAAACCATTGGATTCCCCTCAACAATAAAGGAAGAAACAAACAAATTTAAAAAATAACTCATTAGAGAACATGCCTAAAGTTATAAAATCAACTAAGAGCAAGGGGGAAAAAATGGAAAAATGAGCAAAACACAGAAAGAGACAGTTGACAACCAGCCCGTAAACAGAAAAAGACGTTGTCTCAATAGTAATTTTTAAAATACTGGCTTTTAAATTTAGTTTGAAAAATATTTGAAGATTGATAATAGGAGAAATGGGTAATCCAATAAAGTTGATAAAAGTGTCAGTAGGGTGGGAAAAATAGATTATAAACAACATAATTTTATTTGTGTAAAATTACATAATTGTATAGATAAATGTCTTGAATGACCCAAAATGTTAACAGTGTTAATTGGGAGAATTTCTGTAAGTTTTGATATTTTACACTTAACATTTTTGTATTGTTTGGATTTTTTACATTGAATAACTTTTTTATAATAGAAAAATGCAAAAAGTGTCATTTTCATTTAACTTTTTTTCTTTATGGAAATTACTTTCTCATTTTCTCTTGTTACCTTTTTTGTTTTTAATGTGGCCACAGAGAATAGACCTTTATATAAAAAAACAAAAATTCACCCATCCCCCACCTTCATTTTGGTACCCATCAGCTTGTTCTCTGTATCTAAAGGTATCTCATTATCTTTAGAAAGATTTTTGTTTGTTTGAAAATAGTACAGAGTTCTAGAACCTGAGGTCAGGAAGGACAAGAATTAATTATATAGAAAAAGAAAGAAATATAAACCATAGATACATCTTTCAAAACAGAATATTGTGTGCTTTACTTGGAGGTTTTAGAACTACATCATCTCTTTGGCCACACCTCAGGCTGTGGTTTTGACCTGACTACTTGAAGAACAACAGACTTACCCTACCGACCACAAACCTTAGCTATTTTAGAAGTCCAGTTTTATAGCTGGAATTCCTTAGAAATAATTTACTTATTTAAAAAGTTTCACCTGATTTATCATAAAAGCCTCTTGGTATAGTTTTCTAATTAAAATTAAGACTTTCCCAATGGCAAATCGAAATAGTGTGTTGCCTGTAGTGGTAATAGTCAATAAATGTTGATCTAAGTAAATTTTGGTGGATCCAGTTGAAAGAAATTGAAAAGTATATGTTGTAAGTGCTGAAATCATTAATCTGTTTTCTCCCTTTTCTGCCATAGAAAATGAAATCAATGGTTCAGAACTGTTAGACCTTGAGGAGTCTGATGTTGTAAAGTTGGGAATCAGGTAAGAATGATAAAATTCACTTGTAGCCAACCCTGCTTGTGACCTTTTTATTCACCTTTGAGGGACAAAGCCCAAAATTGCTGCTATTAACTGTCCACATTTTAAATCTAGGAAGTGTTTTAAAACCATCCACTTAGGCAGTGTTTTAAAACAATCCACTGCTGGATAGTTAACACAGTTGTTTTTGTTTATATTTGCTGTATAAATTCTCTATTTAATATTATTAATGATTCCTATTTTTTTAAAAATTTTACTGACAAGCCTTCATGAAGTTGGTAGTAACTAACGTTTTACTCTCAAGTTCAGGATAATTGAATTATGCACATCAGAATGTATATGAACTGAGGGGGCAAAAAATGTTTGCAAAAGGCGCTTTCCCTCTCGGGAGCACATCCATGCCTTTCTTCCCTCTCATAAGCACATCTTTACTTTTCTCTACTAAGTTATAAGGGTCCCCAGGAGACTTGCAGCCAGGGGAGCAACGAGCAGTGGCAGCTCCTCCTGGACAAACACCCTGAACCTGTCTACAAGGCCCCCTTTTCTTTGACTTTTCAGTAAGCCAGCAGCAGCCCTGCCTTGGCTCACTTCTTTCCTATAAGGTCTCTAGGGAGGCAAAGCTGCCTTGCCTAAGTGGCTAGGTTCTCTCTGTTGCTTTTTCTTTTTTTAATTTGGAGAGAGAGAAAGAGAGTATTGCTTTGTTGTTCCACTTATTTATACATTCATTGGGGTTGATTCTTGTATGTGCCCTGACAGGGGATGGAACCCATAACCTTAACATATTAGGATGATGCTCTAACCAACTGAGCTACCCAGCCAGGGCTCCTGTTGCTTCTTCTATCCTAAGTTCTTCCTTGTTTCATTGTCCCCAGCTTTAATAAATGTACTCTCAAAATTTAAAAAAAAGAATTGTTGGCAAGAAAACTCAAGGCTAGAACCCTATCTTGATCTCTAGGTCTTCTTAAAGCTATCTTAAGACTGGAATATATCCCTACCATTAGATTAAGAGGCACAAAGTAGTTTGGCACTTTTTATCTAGGACAAGTTATTTAACCTTCAGTTTCTGCACTTGTGAAATGGATAATACTAATGAGACAATGTATGTCAAGTGGTTAGCACATGATGAGCCCTTAATAAATTATACATGTAGAGATGTAGAGATCCTTATGCATGATGGGAGGTTCTTAGGTCTAGATCAGTGTGGGTCCATTTTCAAGACATCAGTTGAGGATGCAATATTTAAATATTCCTTAAAATGGAGACATTGCTGCTTTTAGAGAATTGACAACATAATGAAATATGAACTTTTTCTCTGGAATTCCACTTAGCTAAATGTTGTTTGTGGTAACAGTAAACAAATCAAAACAAAGGATGATATTGATACTTTATGTACCATTGCTTAATAATTGGTAATGGAAGTAGACTGTGAAAAAAAAAGATCGCTTTTAACTGACTTTTAATAATTATCCTTTGAATTGGAATCTTCAGGGACTTTGTCTTGCCTCTTTCGTAATCACATTTCAGCCTCCATTGCCCCCTTGAAGTCCTCCGTAGTACCTATTTTTTATGTGTAATAGTTGCTTACTATTTTAATTGAATGGAATTTGTTCTAATAGAGTCTTTCTTTTAAAGGGAATCATATACTATGTGGATCCAAATATTATTGATTTATTCAATAAATATTTATGGAGGCTTACCATGTATTAGGCAGTCTTCCAGGAACTTGAGACACATGAGTGAACAAAATCAACAGAATTCGCAAAGGAACACAATGTGGCACACCTTCTGTGCCCACCTCATAACCCAGAGATGGATTCTGCAGGACTCCTCAGAGCTCTGTTTTCCTATACAGCAGCCATTAATTACATGTTTAAATTAAATTAAAATGTCAATTCCTCCTTTACACTAGCCATATTTCAAGTACTCAGTAGCCACTTATGGCTAGTGGCTGCTGTGTTAGACTGAGCAGACTGGCCTTTTCCATCATGGCAAAGTTCCTGGACAGAGCTGCCTTTGAAGATCCTAGTAGGGTCAGCTGATGGGGTAAATAATGAATTTATAATCAGTGATAATTTCTGTAGCATCTGTCATCATACTTAAAATTCTCCTACAGTTCTTGAGGACAGGAACCAAGTCATTTCTGTAACAGCAGTGCTGAACACAGTTCAATCTTTCCAGCCCTGTAAGGTAGATGGTATTGTCTCTGTGCTATAGATGAGAACATCAATGTACCAAACAAGGTTAAGTGACTTGTCCAAGGTCATGTATAGATTCCATGTGCAGATGTGAGCGAGTTCTGATTCAAAATCCCTTTTCCATTATCACTATGCTCTACTTAAAAGAGTGCTATCTTGAGTTTTCACTTATATGAGTCTTGAAAATTCAGGATTGTGAGGGTGTATGTTAGATTAAAATAAGTATAAATTGAGCACTCAGTAGAGAATATGGAGATGTTGAGGTCTGAGTTTATCAAGAAAGAGGATCAAGGGCATAAGTCTAGAGGGAGAGCTTCATGTCTCAAACAAAGGAAAGAGTTCCTAGGAGGAGTAAATTTGAATTATTAATCATTCCTTTCTATCTGACTTCTCTTTCTATTAGCATAAATAAGTTAGAGTTGATTACATACTATTATATACTCTATCAATTATTATTAAGCAAATAATGATAGATTTGCTTATCCTGTTATAATTATAGTTCCCTGTCGGAGAGCAAGGAGCTGTTTAATTGTATTAAACGTCTGCGTCAACCTTATGTCGATACAGTGAAGGTAAGAAGAATCTAGTTTATTATCATGTGTTTTGAATATAAAGTGAAATAACCCAATTATCTAGAATTCATTTTTAAAAGAGTAGAAGGAAATCTGCTTTTCATTGTGAATAGTGGATTTTGCAAAACTTCTCTGAATTTTCTGCGTATTCTAAAATAAGCACAGAATATTTAAATCAAAGAAAAACAAATATTTTAAGCACACAGGAAAGCATAATTACACCAATACTCAGCCCATCAAATCTTAACATTTTGCCCAATTTGCTTCAAATTTATTGTTTTTAGAACAAAGTATTAAAATCAATGAAAGACCTCCTTTGTTCCCCTCTTGAATTCTATTTCCATCCTTTCTTCCTCAAAAGTAATCACCATCCTGAATTGGTGTTTAATAATTTTTATGAATATTTTGTACTTTTACTACATATTTGTGGATAGCCATAAACAATGTAAAGTATTGTTTTAGATGTTTTTAAAATTTTATATAAATCATATTTCACAGTAACTTTCTAAACTTTAACATTATACTTTTGAGAATCATTCACATTGACATAAATAGCCCAAGTTACCACCTTCAGCCATAGAGAATAACTTTAAAGTTATGTTAAGACCCTGGCTGGTGCAGCTCAGTGGATTGAGCACTGGCCTGTGAACCAAAGGGTCGCTGGTTTGATTCCCAGTGTAGGGCACATGCCTGGGTTGCAGGCCAGGTCCCCAGCAGAGAGTGCACGGAATGCTTCCACACATTGATGTTTCTCTTTTGCCGTCCCTTCCCCTCTCTAAAAATAAATAGAATCTTAAAAAAACATAACACTAGGGGTTTTGTTTTTTTTAATAAATAAGTAAGTAAATAAATAAATAAATAAATAACGTTTTCTTGTCAGCTTTGGTATAATTGTTTTGTCAAATATTAGTTCAAATGGTAGATATATTTCTAAAGTTTAATCTATCAATAACTGTTTATTTCTCATTCCCCAGCCCCTTCCAGACATCAAAAGCCTTGTTTTTCAGACTTAGTGTCCCCAGAATGATTTTAACAAGCCCACAACCCTCATCCCAGAAATTCTGAGTCTGATAATTTACAGTAGAAACCCAGGAATGTGCATTTTTTTCACAAGCTCCTCAGGGTGATTCTATTACCATAATTAAAGAATTATGGAAATTATTCTTTACCTATGGTAATTAATTCTTGATTAACTGGTGACAGGGAATGTACCTATTGTTCAGCCTTTTGACATAAACAGGTTAAGAATACTTAGTTTCAGACCTGGAAGAAAGAGTAGAGTCTCAATCAGAGTATATATTTCAGTTTACTTTTACAATTTAACCTGTTGATTTTCCTTTAAAAATTATGTTTGAAAATATTTAACAAAGGTGTTCGGTTTAGTCTTACAATATTTTATTCTTTTAGACAAAATTGTGGTTCTTACAGCAAATGCTTTACGTAAAGAATAATCAAATCCCAGCCCTTTCTGAAAAACTGGCCTAATATTAAAATACTTCATTTTTTTCCTGAAGAAGTGGAGCGATTACCTATCACAATGATACCTAAATATTCTGTCCTGCAGCTGGAAGAAGGTTGTTGTCCTGTATTCTCTTCTGTCCTTCCTCATTAGCAGCAGCATAGGGCATCCTCTTCCTATTAATAGGGCATAAATGAGTTTCCTTCTTTAGGTAAGATCATCTCAGATGATCTCTGAAATGACAGTTTCACATTTAGAATTTGCAACACTGTTTTTGAAGGAATATTCAAGGCAGTCAATGGTTTCATTTGCCCACTTTCATTCTCTTTTTTTAAGTTTTAATCAAAAACAAAAAAATTGCTTAATTTCACTTACAAAGTACAGTTGTTGAAAATAGATTTTAAAGCTACTATGTACTTGAGTCAGTGAGTCATTATATAGTAATAAAATTGATACCTTATACGATCTTAAGCTTCGTTACCAGTACGGTTGAAGAAAAAATTGATTCCTACCCTATCCCTGCCAGGTAGCTCAGTTGGTTAGAGCATCATCCCAACGCACCAAGGGTGTGCATTTGATCTCGTCAGGGCACACAGGGGAACCAACCAATGAACGCATAAATAAGTGGAACAACAAGTCAGTGTTTCTCTGTCTCTCTCCCCTACTTCTTCTCACTCTCTAAAATCAATAAATTAAAAAATTTTTTAAAGACTAATGCCTTTAATAAAAAGAAAGAATTGATTTCTACCCTAATCTGGCATCCACCTTTTATTCCTTTTTTAAAAACAGTTTTAGTAAGATGTAATTCACATACCTTACAACTCACTCAAAGAATACAAGTTTTGTGAGTTAAAAAACAAGTATCACTGTTTTTTAGAAGGTTCACACGGTTGTTTAGTCATCACTATAATCTAATTTAAATTATGAGTTCTTTATATATTCAAGTCTCTTATCAAGAGGTGGATACAAGTCTCTTATCATAGATATGATATGCAAATTTTTTCTCATCCTCTGGATTGTCTTTCTTTACTTTCTTATTGGTATTTTCTAGAGTACAAAAATTTTTAATTTTGTTGTAGTTCAGTTTATCTATGTTTCCTTTCACCTCTTGTTCTTTTGGTGTCATGTCTGAGAAACAATTGCCTAACCCAAGGTTACAACCTTTTTTCTTGACTCTGTTTTCTTCATGATAAATTTAGTTCGGTTGGCCTGTGAAGCCAGGAATTGTGTAACAGTGAGGAGGAAATAGTGCTCAATGTAATGGGTGCTAATTTGTCAAATATGTTAATGAATCTTAAAATGAAATGCCTGCTTTAAGCATTTTCTCTTACTAATTATGCGTTGTTATAGGATCACCACCTCTGAATCTTTTTCTGATGGTTCCCTCTCCTCTTTCTTCTGGGTAAAACTGACCACTCCTTCTTTTGTTTCTTTCTCCCCATCCTTTTTCTCCTCTACTCTGGACATAGATTCTATTATCTTTCCAGGAGGGCAGGAATGATGCCTTTCCCATCTCTTATCCTCAGTGCTTGGCATGTACAGAATATTTAATAGACAATAGGATTGTTTCATTTTGCATCACTAATACCACAGTAGAATATCATATAGCCTTTAAAAGTGACAAGTAAGCGGACCATGTAACTATATAAAGGAGCAATTTATATTAAATAATACTGGGAGCCCTGGCTGATGTGGCTCAGTGGATTGAGTGCCAGCCTGCAATCCAAAGGATCTCCGGTTTGATTCCCAGTCAGGACACATGCCTGTGTTGCAGGCCAGGTCCCCAGTAGGGGATGCTCGAGAGGCGACCACATATTGATGTTTCTCTCCCTCTCTTTCTCCCTCCCTTCCCCTCTTTAAAAAATAAATAAATCAAATAATACTGGGAGAACAAAATAACAATTTGTAAATAATGATCAAAACACTTTAATATCACATACACATATTAAGAGTGGAAGAGCACATGCGGTAATATAACTAGAATTTCCCACAAGTTATTCCCAACATTAGGAGAATGGTTTAAAAATGTTGGTTCTTCAATGAAATAGAACCATTAAAATGATAATTATTAAGATTTATTAAAAACATGAGAAAGTGCTCAGAATGCATTTTGACATGAAAAGAATGTGTATATCATGATATTAATTATATTATTTTTTCATAAAGTTGCTTAAATTTATTTTGTTTTAGCATACATAGGGTGCAATAAATGGTTTTTTATTGATTTCTTTTTTTGTGAGAGAGAGGAAGGTTGAGGAAGGGAGAGAGAGAGAGAAACATTGATTTGTCGTTCTACTTATTGTGCTTTCACAGGTTGTTTCTTGTATGTCCCCTGACCGGGGATGGAACCTGCAATCTTGGTGTATTGGGACAACACTCTCACTAAATGGTTTAAAAACAATTATTATACCCAGCAAAAGAAACCCCAATGATAATACTGGAAAAATTGACACTGAAGATTTTTAGACTTTTAAATGGATTAAATGTAGATTGTAAATTTTTAAAATAATTTTTAACAATTAAATAGATTCTCATTTGTTTGTGATGGTACATTGATCTTATATAAGGGGGAAGTAATAGACCAGTATAGTAAGTCATCAGTAGTTTCTTGGACACTATAAGCAAAATGATACACAATGAAACCAGTTTCACCAAAGGCTAATTGATATGAACAAGAGTTAAGTTCATTCGGCATATTTCTCATCACAAAAACATCACCAAACTTCTAGAAAAGGACCCAAAATACTTCTAATATTAAACATTGAAATAAATGTGAGCTATACATACCTTTAAGAAAGATTAATAAAAACAAGTAAGAGAATGATTTTTCCAACATGTTTATTTCAGGTTAGGACTGAGAGTGTCCTGGAATCTCAGGGCACAAGATGGGAACCAGCCCTGGACAGTTGCCCTTCCATCACAGGGCATGCTCACACGCACATCCATGCTCATTCAGACATGTAGGCTTGCCAGTGAAGTTCACATGCATATCGCTGGGGTGTGGGAGGAAACTGGAGCCCTCGGAGAAAACCCATGCAGGCATGGGGAGACCATACAAGCTCTACGCAGACCGAGACCCTGGCCAGGAATCGTTTTATTTAATTAATTTATTTTTTAATCAACACTATAAGGAAGTGATGTTGGTCATAATAATGTTATTCGATGACCTGCTCTTTATGATTTTCAGGTATTTAAAAATTTTGAAACTTATCTGTAAGGACATTCACAGGGTTGAATTATAACACTCATGGGTCTTTCTACTCCGAGATATTTTGACATCATTCTTGGTGTATTATTAGAGGTGACTAAAATTTAACCTTTTATAATAATTATAAAGTGGTTTTATAGAGCAGGGTGAAAAAAATTCATGCTTACCAAACATCAACCATAAATCTAATCTTTATTAATGTATATACATATTGTTTAACAAAGTTGTAAATTCTAGTCATTACTTGACCCAGGCTTTTGGTACCAACTTGAATTGATCTATTTTTAAACTCATCACCAACATGTTCAAATGTTGGACCATATAATCCCTTTAAGCTTTACAACATGGAGCTTCTATGATTCATATTTTATATATTTCTTTGTGTGGACATATACTATAAAGCATAAATTACTTTGCAATCACATTCAGCAGTAGTTAGGCACACAGAATGATGGGTTCTGAGACCATAACAGTGAACAAGACAGACAAGGTCTTTTGCCTCCCAGAATTCCATACTTTAAAAAATTATTTTATTATTATTATTATTTTTTTTTTTAGAGAGAGGGAAAGGGAGGGAGAAAAAGAGGAAGAGAAGCAGTATCAACCGGTTGCCCTCCATAAACACCCCAACCTGAGCCCAAACCTACGACCCAGGCATGCACCCTGACCAGAATTGAGTTAGTGACCGTTCTGGTTTGTGGGAGGGTGCCCAACCAGCTGCGCCACACCGGCTGGAACAAGAATGCCATACAATTTTAAGCAACTTCAATTTGAAGCAGTTTGAAAATCATGAATTAGATCATTTACCAGGCTCTTTTTTTATTCGGTAGCTTTCTCTTTAAAAGGTAGTTTATGAACAGGTAAGAGAGATATATCTTTAAAGAAACATAGAGGCATTAAATCTTCACCCATATTTAAAGCTCTTGTTTAAACTTAGAGTAGTGTGTAATTGTGAAATTTATTTTTTACTACATGTATTTCTGAGTGACATATAAGTACTATAAAATTTTTTTATTCATAATTATACAGTGTACTTATTATCTGTTTCTGTGTGACAAATTAAACCAAAACTTTGCTGCTTAAAACATGTGTTAATCACACAGTTTCTGAAGGTGGGGAATTCTACAGCCGTTTAGCCAGGTGGTTCTGGCTCCAGGTCTCTCATGAGACTGCAGTCACGTGGGCAGGGCTGCAGGTCTCTGAGGCTTTAACTTGGGCCCCCAAGTGAAGTGTCCACCTCCAACATGGCTGCCAGAACAAAGCCTCTGTCCTTAATGGGCATGGGTAGAAACAGCAGCCTCAACACATGGATCTCTTCATAGGGCTGCATGAGTGTCCTCAGAGTTAGTAATCCTGATCTCTGGCAAAGGTAGGGGCAGAGTGGGCTAGAGACACCTGAGGAGAGACGGGAAGGAGGCCCGTGGGAAAGAACTGAGAGAGCAGACCGTGGGATCCCAGCGCTGACCCATCCCCCATGTGGCCGCAGCCATCCTGCTCAAGCAGGGACCAGTACTATAAAATTTTTCTGTCCCTGCATATGGTATCTTATCTATACACTCAGAAAGTTTCTTTCTTTTCCCTCCCTCCCACCCCGCCCCTCCCCTCCCCCTCCCCTTTCCCCTCCCCCCTTCCCCCCTCCCCTCCCTTGCTTCCCCCTCTCCTCCCTTCCCCTCCCTTCTCCCTTCCCCTCCCCTCCCCTCCCCTCCCCTTCCTTCCTTCCTATCTTAGGATTTTAGTGACAGGCATGATACAGGTATATACTCAGGAAAAATTAAGGACACAGTGCCAGTAGCAATATGACTTATATGATCTGAGCGAGTGTATTAAATTGGTATGTTTAACTTGAATACAAGACTGACATATTAAATGCTAATTAAATAATGTACAAAGCCTTGGCTGGTGTGGCTCAGTTGGTTGGAGCATCAGCCCATAATCAAAAGGTTGCAGATTTGATTCCCAAACAGCATATACCTGGATTGCAAATTCAATCCCCAGTCCAGGGCATAGGATCCCCAGTCAGCTTACACATGAAAGGCAACCAGTTGATGTTTCTCTCTCACTTAGATGTTTCTCTCTTTCTCTTCATCTCTTTCTCTCTCTCTCAAAAAAAAAAAAAAAGACAATGAAAACATGTTCTTCAGTGAGGATAAATAATAATAAAAAGATTGAAATCCTTATCTTTTTGTTATTAGAATCCATTTGGAAAAAGTAAAATATATCCAGACCAATATATTTGAGCTATCTGGTAGTAATATCAAAATAAGGTAATGATATTAATAATATTTTGTCATTTCCCTTAGTATTAGTCTTGAGAACAATGAAACAGCTTTGACTTTGCACTATAAGTAGACATGGCTGCATAATAAGTTATGTACTGTTACTTATATTAGTTTAAACATAATTTTCTAGGTAATTAATGATCCTATCCATGGCCATTTTGAACTTCACCCTCTCCTTATCCGGATCATCGATACTCCTCAATTTCAGCGGCTTCGGTATATTAAACAGTTGGGAGGCACTTACTATGTTTTTCCAGGAGCTTCACACAATCGGTTTGAGCACAGTCTAGGGTAAGAAAGGGATTGGGGTGGGGGACATAAAGTTATTAAGCACCTTCTCTGTCTCATGGAATGATTGTCTCATCTTTCAGAGAATGGTGATAATATCCTTATTTTGTTGATAAAAAAGTTGAGACTTTCATTTGCCTTGCTGTGTTTTATTTATTTATTTATTTATTTATTTATTTATGTTCTTATAAGCCCCCTTCCTAGAAAGATAATGAAAGTGCCAACTGAGAGGTCATTTGGTTGAAATATGTGTGTTTAAATATTATTTAAAAGCTAATAGCGCTAGCTACTGGTATAATTGACTTTGTAAATTTGATTATTTCATTTTCCTGTAGTCTCTATTTAGTCGTGTGCAGATTGTCTTTTGAAACGAGGAAATGTGTAAATCAGAAAAGCATTCACAAGCTCAGAGAAGTAACACTTTTACTATGTACAACTAAGTTGAGACTTTGGTCTGCTTTTCCATTATAAAAATGTAGAGCCAGGAGGACGTAAGCAGGGAAGAACTGGACAAGTTTCCAGATAGTCGTGAAGTACTAACAGTATTACTTTGGTTTTTTGTTTATTTATTTTGAAACATTTTAAATTATCCGGAACACATGTATATACTCAAGTATTCGTTCATTCATCAACAAATATTTATCGAAAACTTACTAGGCCCTACCAAACTAACAAGATAAAAAGGGTTGCTATCCTCAAAGATACTGTGTTCATTCAGAAATTGCCTTCAGAGGGAAGTGCTAAAAGTGCATTTAACATTTGTTAGGCATCTTATCTTTAATCTATGTTGCAAACATTACAAAACAGAAGTCCTTATTTTTTTAAATTGTGGTAAATGCATAGACTATAAAACTTACCATCTTAACCATTTTTAAGTACACAGTTCAGTAGTGTTAAATATACCCACATTCTTGTACAACCAAACTCCAGAACTTTTTCATCTTGCATAGCTAAAACTCAGTAACACTCAAATAACAATTCTCCATTACCCCCTTCTCCCCAGCCCCTTTTGGTGACTGGCTATTTCACTTTATGCAATTTCAGGGTTCCTCCATGTTGGAGCATATGTCAGAATTTTCATACTTTTTAAGATTAACTTATATTCAAACGTATGCATGTGTCACGTTTTGTGTATCCCTATTCATCGGTGGACACTGAGGTGTTTCCACCTCTTTGGCTATTGTAAATAGTACTGCTATGAACACAGGTGTGCAAATATATCTTAAAGGCCCTGTTTTCAATTGTTTTAGGTATATACCTAGAATTGGAATTGCTGAATCATATGGTAATTCTACTTTTAATTTTTGGAGGAACCACCATACTGTTTTCCAAGTGGCTACATCATTATACATTTCCATAAACAGTGTACAAGGGTTCTAATTTCTTCACATCCAGGCCAACATTTATTAATTATTTTGGGTACTTTAGATTTTTGTTTCGTTTTTGGATAATAGCCACCCTAATGGATATGAGGTGGTATCTCACTGTAGTTTGGTTTTGCATTTCCCTAATGATGAATGACGCTGAGCCAAGAAGTCCTGCCTTTGGGATCCTGTTTGTGCATTTCTGCCAAGTTCCAAACACACTATTCTGTAAAGTTGCCCTAGAGATATATCACAGCATTTGAGAAACATTAAAGTTCTTGAGAACCGAGAAATATCACTCATATCTTCGGGAAAAAAGAGTGATTTTTTGTTTTATTTCTTCTGCAGTGTAGGATATCTAGCAGGATGTCTTGTTCGAGCACTGAAAGAAAAACAACCAGAGCTGCATATAACTGATCGAGATATACTCTGTGTTCAGATTGCTGGCCTTTGTCATGATCTCGGTAAGCTGTGCAGGAGCCAAAGCTGTTAATGAAAAACCATGTTTACCTCTCTTTGAAATTAAAAAATCTGACTAACCAAGAGAAATATGAAAGTTGTGTTTTAGTTTTTCAATTAACATTAATACAAATGTGCCATTACATCTTCCAAGAACGATCCTTAAGACCACAGCATTGCTCTTTTTTTTTTTTTTTTGTGGCTTTTCAGTGAATTTCCCATGTTAAACATCATTGCTACAAGTTATATGAAAGGACTTTCTCACAGTGAGGTTTTTAGACCACTCTGTTTAGGATGATGTGAATTCAGTTTTTCTTTTATCATTCTTGTTGAATAAAATTGCCATTTTTCCTCTAGTTGCCCCATCAGGTCTATTTTCTCATACCTAGACTACATACTCTGCCCTAACAGATTAACAACAGATTCAAACTTCTCCACTTCCCTGACCCGTCTGAGGTCTTGAGCCACTTAAATCAAAGTAAGAGAATATTAATGCTTTTCCTTTGACCAGGAAAGAGAAAAGAGACAGTATTCTTTTACCACGGGAGTTAAATCCTACTTTCTGGAAGACCCTGAGAATCTTTGTGCGCCCTCAGGTCAGGAAAAGGGAAGGGTCTACCCTTCAATAGCCAGATACTTAAAGGGGTAGGGCACTCTCTTCAGCTCGTCCTCTTGGAGACAGCAGTAGGACTAATACTCCCCCAGATGATAAATTTAACAGATAAATTTAGCCTGGTATTTTGAGAGGGAATCATTGGGAAACCTTTGCCAGTCCCTAGGAGTCCAAGTACTAAAGTAATGAGCTTTATGTACAGAGTGCAAAATGCAAAAAGACGCAGGGCTGGTCCAGCTGGGCTTTCTCTGCAGCCAAGTAATTCACTTCTACAGTAATTCTGATAATTCCAGAATTTTACCTCAACCAAATTTCATATTATTAAATGTTGTGAAACGTAAAAATCAATTATGAATAAGATAAACTTTAGATTTCCACTTTTGATGGTTCACATTATCAGTAAAAACCCCCAAAACAGCCCCAATATATGTGTAATTTTCTAAATCTATTATGTGCATTGTAAAATATACAGAAAAATAGATTGTTTTGAAGGATGAAAGTAATAAAGTTCTAATATGTTATTCCTTTATCCCCGTGAATTGTCTTAAAACTACTGTTTTAATACAGATATTCAACCTGAAGATGCTGCAAGTTTTTGCCATTACATTCCTTTACATTACACAAAACTGTCCTCTCACCAGAGTTATGTTAATTCTGCATGACTCAGAGACCCCTCTATGAAGAGCTAACTTTCACATATGGTTCTGCTTCCTGTTCTCTTGTTTTTAGAAAACAAGAAGGCAGGATTTGTCTCTTTTTGTGATGTATTTATAGATTATTGATTTCTGTTGAAATTCAAGTTAAAACTAAAAAGATTTTTAAAAATTGACTCAGTTTTTACACTTTTCTTCTTCTATGGTCGCTTGTGTTTTTAAGGTCATGGACCATTTTCTCATATGTTTGATGGAAGATTTATTCCACTTGCTCGCCAAGATGTGAAATGGAAGGTATGTCATATATTCGATAGTCAATAAAATAAAGATTATTGAAGAAGCAGCCACTGCTATTATAGTATACTTCCCCATTATAGTTTTCAGGGTGCTTTCATATATAGCAATGTATCTATATATATGTATGTATGTATGTATGTTTTCCTGTGTGTTTTTATTTGATTCTCACCAGTCTGTAAGGAAGGAGTCATTATCTCCATTTCTACAAGTATAAAGGAACTTGAAATGCACAGGGGTGTTTGGATGCACCAAAAATCACAAAGCTGTTAAATGGTAGAGCCAGTACTAGAAAACCGGTTCCCCAGGTACTAATTTAATGCTCTTTCTACTCTACCATGCTACTGTAAAATAAAAAGTAAAAGGTCAGCTCTGGTTTTGACTCATTTTGTATAGCCATGAAGATAACTTGGCAGTAATCATGCCAAGTTTGATCATATGCAAATTGGGGCAAAAGTAAGATTACAGTTGTTCGTATGGAAAATGATACAATAATCAATAAATAATAGTTCAAGAATTCTGTTTCACTTACAACTCTAAAACTACTTTTGCCCATCCTGTATATTAAACGTATAAAACCATTTTATAATTAGGGATTTGCGGGTAGTTGACCCATATTTTTGGAATCAGTTTTTGAGAAGTAAACTTAGTTTCGACAGTAAAGTTAGGTTGAGTTCATTTTTGGCCACACTGTCTCTGGATCCTGGAGTAGAAAAGGATATTAACATGTATTGAATGCTTCTTACGTGTCGACCATTATTTTCTCTCTCTCTCTCTCTCTTTTTTTAAAAGGTATAACTCACATATAATAAATCGTACAGATTTTAAGTGTATAGTTCAGTGAGTTTATACAAATGTATGCAACTGCTGCTCAAGTGAGGATAAGAATGTCTCCGTCTTCCTGGAAAATTCCTTTGTGCCCCTTTTGAGTCAATTTCTACTCCCTCCCACACCATCACCTTCTGATTTTTATAAGCATAGATTAGTTTTGCCTGTTTTTAGATTTGATAAAAGTATAATCATATAGTAGGTACTTTTGTGTCTTGCTTCATTCAGTGATTTTTGAAATATGTTCTCATTGTATGTATCATTAATTGATCCCTTTTTATCACTGAGGTATTATTCTGTGGTATGAATAGGTCATAATTTTTTATTCTTTCTCCTTTTGATGGAATTTGTGTTGTTTTCATTTTCTTTTTTCTTAAGAAGAACTTAAATTTTATTTTTCAATTACAGTTTGCATTTACTATTATTTTGTGTTAGTTTCAGGTATACAGCATAGTGGTTTGGATTGTTTTCAATTTTGGGCTATTAGGAATAAATTTGCTATGCTTACTGTACACTCTTTTTGTGGGAAGTGTTTTTATTTCTTTTAGGTAAATATCCTAAGAGTAGAGTTGCTGGGTCATAAAGTAGATATATATTTAACTTTACAAGAAATTACTCGAGCCCTGGATTAGGTGCTGGCCTGAGAACCAAAAGGTTGCTGGTTTGAGTCCCAGGCAGGGCACATGCCTGGGTTGCGGACCAGGTCCCCAGTCGGGGGTCTGCAAGAAACAACCACACATTGATGTTTTCCTCCCTTTCTTTCTCCCTCCCGTCTCCTGTCTCTGAAAATGAATAAATAAAATCTTTTTAAAAAAGAAAGAAAAAGAAACTACCTGAGCTTTCCAGTGATTGCACAATTTTTACCCTCCACCAGCAATGTGAGTTCCTGTTTCACATCCTCACCAACATTTGTTGTTTTAGCTTTTCTAATGAGTATGAAATGGTACCTTGTGATTCAATTTGCATTCTCTGATGTATGATGAGTAGCATTCCTGTACTTTGTACTTCATCACTGATATATCTTCTTTTGTGTAGAGTTCTTTCAATGTTTCACCCATTTTTAAAAATTGATTGCCTTTTTATCATTGATTTGAGGAATTCTTATAAGATATATAATGAATATTTTTTCTCCAGTCTCTGACTTGCCAAATCATTTTTCTAATGGTGTGCATTGACAAATTTAAAAACTTGATGAAGTACTCTGGCTCTTCAGTCCAGTAAGATGGCTAGTGTCTCTCCAGTGTTCCTGCCTTGGGGTCTGTTCTCAGGCTAAAAGCCATAGAAGAACTGGAATATTGCCCAATGACTTTCCCTTCCAAGTGTTGACTTCCTCTAACATCTGTGTGCCTTTGGTTGCTGTCCAGTATCTTCAGTGAATTGGCCAAATGTTTCCGGAAAGAGACCCATGTCAGGGCCTCCGCACCCTGTGCCAAGCTTGTTCCTGGGTTCTTGTCTCATTTGCAAGAGACAAATTCAAGCAACAGACAACACATATAGTGGAAATAAGACAGCAACTTTATTTATGAAACACATGAGCACGAAGCTGCAAGCAGGCACCCAGCTAGTCTGAATGCGCCATGTATAGGAGAAATAAAGTTTACAAGTTTTTAGTCCATTTTTTTCTATACACTTGAACTGAAGCTACAAGTGGGCACTCAGCTAATCTGAGTGTGCCAGCTTTTGGCATTCAGTGGTTATATACTTTAGCCAGCCTCTAGATAACCTTCCTTCTCTTTCTAAACCTTGGGAATAATGTACAGCTACAAAGGCTCTCTTTGTCATAGTGAAATCTGCTACAGAGGCTGCCTTTCCCAACACAGAGTCTCAAGGACTCCTCTCTTCCTGCATTGTCCTTGCTTGTGATGTTTGGAAAACCCAGCAATCCTATCGGGCCAGGCTCAGGACTGCTGAGACAAGTCTCCCTCCTCCTTCCCGCCTTTGTTTACTACCTGTCCTGTCTGACACAAAGTTTATAGTTTTTTCCAGCAATGCTGATCTAAATAGGGTCTACTTAGCCATTCCCAATGGCCTTTGTCTTTAAATATTGTATTTTTTCATTTCTAGAGATGGGAAGGGAGGGAGAAAGAGAGGGAGAGAAAAATTGATGTGTGAGAGAAACAGTGATCAATTGCCTCCCGCATGCCCCCAACCCAGGCTTGTGCCCTAACTGGGAATTGAACAAGCGACATTTTGATTTGCAGTCTGGCACTCAACTCACTGAGCAACACCAGCCAGGGCTTTTTATTTAAATATTTTGCCTTTCACATTTACCTTATTAACTCATGTGGAATTTATTTTTGTGTATATGTGGCAGGAACCTAATTTTTTTTTTACTGTGAATAATTGATAATGAATAGGTCATCCTTTCCCCCGATCTATAATACCAACCCCAACATTTATTAACTTTATATATGATGAGTCTTTCTGGATACTTACTGTTCTATTCCATACTGTCTTAATTATTATTACTTTATAGTAAGTCTTGATAGTTAGGACAATTTTTCATACCTTATTCTTTCATTGAGTATCTCTGGCCCTTTTCTCTTTTTTGCCCCCTTTTTATTTTTTTTATTTTTATTTTTTAGACTTTATTTATTTTCAGAGAGGGGGAAGGGAGGGAGAAGGACAGGGAGAGAAACATCAAGCAGTTGCCTCTTGAATGTCCCCAGCTGGGGACCTGGCCCGCAGCCCAGGCTTGTACCCTGACTGGGAATTGAACTGGTGACTTGTTGGTTTGCAGGTCCGCACTCAGTCCACTCAGCCACACCAGCCAGTTTTGCTCCCTTTTTAAGTTGAAGTATAATTTGCATACAATATTATATTAGCTTCATGTGTACAACATAATAATTTGGTGTTTATATATTGGGTTGGCCAAAAAAATCTGTTTAGTTTTTTCCATAAAATAAAAGACCCATTTTTCTTTTTCACCAGTAATTTTATTGATTTGGATATTTTGGGTATGTCCGCTATCTCCTGTGTGGTATAACATTGATTGTTAACAATGTCTTAGTTTGATTGCTGTCAATTTCAACTTGTCTGTCTGGCTAAGGAGCATCATTCAACGAGACATCTCCGGAACAAAACTTTACTAACCACTTTTGACACATTAGATCAGTCACAGCACTCAGCACTTGCAGAGCCATCTTACACAAAAAAACAAATGAACTCTTGGCCAACCCATGGACTATGAAGTGATCATCCCAATAAATATAATTACCATTTGTCATCATACAAAGTTAATACAACACTATTGACTATATTCCCCATGCTGTACATTACATCCCATGACATACTTATTTTTATAACTGAGAGTCTGTACTCTTGATCTCCCTCTACCTGTTTCACCCACCCACCTCACCCCTCTTCTCCTTTGGCAAATACGTGGCTAATCTATCTGTGAATCTGGTTGTGTTTTGTTTTTTAGAGTGCACATGTAAATGAAATCATACAGTATTTGTCTTTCTCTGACTTATTTCACTTAACGTAATACTCTCAAGGTCCATCCATGTCATTACAAGTGGCAAGATTTCATTCTTTTTTATGACTGAGTAATATTCCATTGTATATATAAACCACATCTTTATCCATTCACCTATTGATGGGCATGTAGGTTGCTATCATATCGTGGCTGTTGTAAATAATGCTACAGTGAGCATAGGGGAACATATATCTTTTCAAAGCAGTGTTTTGGTTTTCACTGGATAAATACCCAGAAGTGAAATTGCTGGATTGTATGGTATTTGTATATTTTATTTTTTAGGGAATCTTCACATTGTTTTCCATAGATGCTGCACCAATTTACATTCCCGCTGACAGTGCATAGGGTTCCCTTTTCTCCACATCTTCACTAATACTTGTTATTTCTTTTTCCTTTTTTTTTGATATACCCATTTTGACAGTTGTGAGGTGGTATTTCATTGTGGTTTTGATTTGCTTTGTGCTTCTATTATAAATTTTAGAATTTTCTCCACAAAGTTATACGTCTTTTATTATACTTCTACATTGCTTATAATCTTAGCTGTTATTGTATGTGCTATCCATGTGGAACTTAAATTTTCTGTATATATAAATTATTTTCTGAAATATTTGAAAGTAAACTCTAGACATACCCCCTCATTCCTAAATACTTCAGTGGGTATTTCCTAAACACAAGAACATTCTCTTACTTAACCTCAGTATAATTATCAAAATCAGTCTACTACTGTTGATGCAATACAATTATCTAATTTAGACTTTCTATCAAATTTCACCAAATGTCCATATAGAAAAAGAGGAAAAAACCTTTTTTTCCCCAATCCATACATACATTGCACTTCGTTGCCATTCTCTTTAGTTTTTATATTTCATGACATTGCCATTTTTTGAAGAGTACAGGTGAGTTATGTGGAATGTCCCTCAATTTGAGTTTATCTGATGTTTCTTCACAGTGGGAAGGCTGCCTTTTTTGGCAGAATGCCACATTGTGTCTTTCTTAATGTGTCACATCAGAGGCACATAAAATCTGTGTAGCCATTGCTGGTAGTGTTAACTTTGATCACTTGAGTAATGCAATGTCTGCTAAATTTTTCCAGTATGAACTTACTGTTTTTCTTCTTTATAACTAATGTTATCTAGATGCAATTTTTAAAATATAGTTGTAGGACCATTCCGGTTTTTGTTTTTATCCTTATGTCAGTTTTTGGTAAGACCTGTGACAGGGTGATGTCTTTACAGTGAGTATGAATGAGTAAACAGAAACAGAAATGAGGGCCGTTTCAGATTCCCACCCAGTCTTGACTTAAGAGCTATACTGTCGTTTTTACCCGCAAATTTGCAGTTACTTCATTTCACCACTAGAGGAAAATACAAACAAAACTTCTAATTTTGGGTTTCAAGGCTGATTAAATAATAGAACTGAATTTTATGGCAATTTTTGTGAAAATGGGATTCCACCACTATGACCTAGTAATATTCTTCTGTACTGTACTGTGAAGTACTTCTGTGCTGTAAATGACTATAGCTCATTAAATATATTAATGAAGTAATGATGAACATGGCTTGTAAAAAGTTTATAGACCAGTAAAATACAGACAAATTTATAGATTTTTAGAAATATCTGCAAGACTGCAGTTGGAAACTAGATGATTAACATTCAGTAGGACCTTATCTTTGAATTACCTGGAATCAGAAGTAATTTGAATAATCTGGGGTCCCTAATGGATTAGAGTTTATAACAGACCATATTATGCTGATTTTTCCTAGCATGAAGAGGGCTCAGTTAATATGTTTGAGCACCTTATTAATTCTAATGATCTCAGACCTGTCATGGAAAAGTATGGTCTCATCCCTGAAGAAGATATTTGCTTTATCAAGGAACAAATTATAGGACCACCTGAGTCACCACTGAAACCTTCACTGGTAAGTTTGTGTACAGCTTCATTTGAAGTGACCTAGGCTTTTCATCTAACCTTTTCTTGACTCCTTCAGAGCTATTTGAAGAGAAAGAGTTTGCTATTTTAGAAGGACTGAATTAAGACGTGGAAAAAATAGAAATACACATATAAATTAAAATACATATGTAAATATTTTATAATGAATATGTACGCAGTATTTTATATAGAAGCCTAAAGTAACTTTGTTTGGAAATTGTAAGAGTGTATATCTTGTTTATCCATGAAAACTAACATTTAAGATATTTAGATATATTAAGATCCAGAAAAAAGTTGAAATGATTGAGAGGAATTAAAAGTTGAATTTGTTCTAAGTGTTTTCCACAGTGCGCGCGCGCGCGCGTGCGTGTGCGCGTGTGTGTGTGTGTAAAAATCTACTTGTAAGATAAAGAGGTAGATTTTGTAGCACATGTCCTATCTGAAAAAAATGGAGCTCCAAAATGTCTTTGAATGGTGCGTATCATTTAGGGTAGATGTGTAGCTACTTTGAAAGAGAATATTATTTCCATGTATGAATTCAAACATTAGCACATAAGGAGCCTTCTTACTAGTTTATAATTGGCTCTTATATTTTTAAAAACTTTTAGGCACGTGAGAGGCAACCACACGTTGATGTTTCTCTCTCTTTCTCCCTTCCTTCCCCTCTGTCTAAAGAATGAATAAATAAAACATTTAAAAAAAACAAAAAAACATTTAAAGCAAGAAAATAGAGCTTATTGGTTATGGGAAGTGTAGTAGAGTTAGTACCTTTCAGTCCACGAAATATTAAAAAGGTTTAGTATTAACAGGATGTAATATACCTTAGCATTTCTTTTCCCTTTTCTACTAATTTAGAAATTAAATGAAAAGAGCCTTCTAAATTATCTCACATTCCCATTCAAGTGTCTGCTTATCATTTTCAAATTAATACAGTTGCTTTGTCTGTAAGTAGATTTGGTTCTTATCCTAAAACTTTTAATGGGTTTTCTTGTTTTCTAGTGGCCATACAAAGGACGTCCTAAAGAGAAAGGCTTCCTTTATGAGATAGTGGCCAATAAAAGAAATGGCATTGATGTGGACAAATGGGACTATCTTGCCAGGTATGCACTGAACAATTCAGAAAAGTTGGTTAAAATCTTTGTACACGTTGTACAATTTTTATTTAAGCAAACAAATAAATACAATAAAAATAAATGCTTATTGCCCTGGCTGGGGTGGCTCAGTGGACTGAGCACCGACCTGTGAACTAAAGGGCTGCTGGTTTGATTCCCAGTGTAGGGCACATGCCTGGGTTGCGGGCCACCCAGGTCCCCAGCAAGGGGTGCGCGAAATGCAACCACATATTGATGTTTCTCTACCTTTCCTTCTCCCTCCCCTCCCCTCTCTAAAAATAAATAAATAAAATCTTTAAAAAATAAGAATTAAAAAATAAATGCTTGTATAAATTTAGTATTAATATTTAAGGTACAGTTACCTTGTTGAAAAATTTTGTCTGTCTGCTTTGGAATCTTTCTAGGGACTGCCATCATCTTGGAATTCAAAATAATTTTGATTATAGGCGCTGTCTTAAGTTTGTCCGTGTCTGTAAAGTAGAAGATATGATGTGTATTTGTACTAGAGATAAGGTAAGGTATGTCCAGAGGAACAACAATGGAACAACCTAACTGGAATGGTTATTTCTAGTTTGAAATCTAGAAATAATCATTCAATAATTTAGAAAAAATCAGTATCCAGTAAATTGTCAATCTGTTTACTTCATGCTGAGAATTTATAAGTATCCTAAGGCTCTTTTCACTTGTACGATATTGTTAAATAATAATAATAAAATTATAATAGACATTTATTAAGTGTTGTACTAGGCACTGTTATAAGTGCTTTGGATGAATTAACTCAATCCTCACAACCCTATGAGATAGATACTATTATTATCCCACTTAATAGATGAGCAAATTGAAGAACAGAAAAGACATACAATTAATAAATGGCAGAACTATAATTTCAAATCAGAAAATTTGGCTCAAGTCTCATCCTTAATTACTATGTTAGTTTTTCATATAGTTAAAATAATAGTATCATTAGGTGCCTGTTAGATTTGAGTCATGTAACTAAAGAGTAGTATAATATTGTATTATAAAAGTCTTTCTTTTCAGCCCTGGCTGGGCGGGGCATCATCCTCTGAGCCAAAAGGTTGTAGATCTAATCCCTGGTCAGGGCACATACGGAAGACAACTGATTGATCTCTCTCACTCTCTCCTCCCTCCTTCCTTCCTCCCTCCCTCCCTCCCTCTTTCCCTCTGTCTTTCAAAAAAAAAAAATCAATAAACATATTCTTGGGTGAGGATTTAAAAAACAAGTCTTTCTTTTGAGAAGGAAGAATATAAGAATAATAATACCTAATTTCTAGAGTTACTGGGAAAATTAAAAAATATACTATATGTAAGATGCCTAAAACAGAACGTGCCACAGAATTAAAACATGCAATAAATTTTGGTTTCCTAAGAATGAAAGTTGCAAACCAATGAATAATTTTACTAATCTGCCTTGCCATTTTTTTAGTGGTCTCAGGGATTTTAATGAAGTAGCCTTTATATCTGCCACCATCCCTTTTTCTTGTTTTATATACTTGTCTACTAACAGGGGTAACATAACGTGATCCTACATTAATATTTATTTCATATTTTCCTGCAGGAGGTTGGGAATCTGTATGACATGTTCCATACGCGCAACTCTTTACACCGTAGAGCTTATCAACACAAAGTTAGCAACATCATTGATACAATGTAAGAAATTTGATTATTTCCCTACAAAAATTTCTATGATGCTTTGCTCTAGAGTATCATGTTGAGATTTCTAGATTAATTCAAGTGAATTTTACATGAGTAAATCTTAAACTGTTCCCTTAAATGAAACAAAACTAGCATAAAGTAAAATTAATTTAGTTGGAGGAAGAGTTGGAGAATGGATTAGAGGGGATAGATGAAGCTCAGAAAGTTGGCTGAGGCCAGACATGAAGAATTAACGCAGAGACCACTTAGGACCTCTGCACAGGCTGTCACTTTTGCACCAGATAGCAGTCATCAAGGTGCTAGAACGGATGTGGATGATTGACGTTCTGAAATTAATGACAAACATTTAATTTTAAGAATTAAGATTAATTTCCGTCTGTACCCTGTCAATTATTTATCAAAATTAATAGCAGATAGTAAAACCAACAGGATTTTCATTTCTCCCTGTTCCATTGCAGAAAAGCACAGCCTAATCTCTAATGACTAAAAGACCCCATGAGGAGTTACCAAAAGTTGGGTGTGAGTCCAGTAAACACCATGTCTCTAAAATGCCTTTAAACTGACTTAGTATAAACCTTTCATTGTTCGTGTTTGTGTTGAAGAAATTGATCTTCTTTTTCTATTCTTTCCCCATCTTTTGTCATGAGCAGACTAGTTAGAATACATTCTCCTATTTGTATGGTAGTTACTTCAGTGTAGGAGATTTTTGTTGTTGTTTTTGTTTTGTTAGTTTGTTTTTAATTTGGACCGTTAGAGAAATCAAGGTTCAAAGCCTGGTACTGCTTCTTCCTAACTTGGTGAAATAAAAATTTACTTAATTTCTGTGCCTATAAAATTAAGGCTATCTATCTTACTATTGGAAAGATTAAATAAGTCAGTGGTTATGAAGCCTGGCCGTCATGCCCGGAACACAGTAAACATGGTGCCCACAAATCACCATGCACTTACTTTGTATGATTGAGTAACAGGTGCCTCTAGAACATCGTGTCTCAAGATTTTATTTCCTTAAACTGAGAAGATTTTCTCAACTTTAAGCAAGGCCTAAGTTATATATTTAAATTTTCTCATAAGCATAAATTTTTATTGAATGGTCTTTAGGATTACAGATGCTCTCCTGAAAGCAGACCCTTACATAGAGATTACAGGCGCTGAAGGAAAAAAATACCACATTTCCACAGCAATTGATGACATGGAAGCCTTCACTAAGCTAACAGGTAAGAACTAGAAGGCAACATAGACGTTCCTTCTCAGATAAAGTGTAAGGTATCCCTTGATTGCAGATGGGTTATTTTTCAAACATTCCAATGGATTTAGCCTCTGAAGTAATTTTACACTTTTGGATTTGAGCTTTATCTCTGTTTGTACTAACAAGATAAACTTGATAAAGTTATTTCACTTCTCTGAGCCATACTTTCCTCATCTATAAAATTGGAGTAATGATACCTAACATATACTTTTATTGTGATGCTTAACTGAGGCAGAGCACCTAGCATAGTACATAGCCCATAAGTACTCAATATTTATGATTATTTAACTTATAATGTAGCTGTACTCATTCACCCCTTTAATATATTTTGTTGTTGTTGTTTTTGCAAAACAAAGAATACCAGGCACATTTCTGCACACTTCAGCAGAAACAAAATCTGCAGCGAGGGCAGGAAGGAAGAAAGGTGAAGATGTCACAGCTGGTTCTTTGATATGGAAAGTGTAGACTGGGAGATAAAAATCAGTAAAGCAGAGGAAGCAGACCAAAAAGTATATGCCAGCCGGGAGCTCTGAGTTGCAAATCATGAAACTGACTCTGTTTAAAAATAAAATGAGATAGCAATCACATAGCTTACAGAATCAGTGGGTGGCTGGAGGTTCTGAAAATGAGCCAAAAAGAACAGAGGCTGAGCCGCTTAAGACACACAGCCAAGATCACTCTACATTAGCTCCCCGTCTGGGGTGCTACTGCTGCTCCGGCTCTGCTAGATTCTGTCCGCAGCGCGCTGCCGGAGTGAAACCTAAACTGGCCTCTCTCAAGCTGTCTGTGACGAACCAACATTCTTCCACCCCGTCACAGAGTGATATTTTTGTAAAATACGATAAACACAAATTACTAAGAAAATAAAATGGTAAGGGGTTGGGGCGGGGTGGAACATACAAAAATAAGCCCCAAATTTTAATATTGAATTGACAGGCTTACCATACATTTCAATAAATGTAATCAAAAGAAACATAATATAGAAAAAAGTCTGAATTTTTAAAAGTATATGTTCTTTAAAAATATACATGTAGGCCATTTATACTGAGTCCCTTTTATACTTGTAGCTTCTTTTATAAAATAGATTCATTCATTCATTCATTCATTTATTTATTTTAGAGAGAGGAAGGGGGAGAGAGAAACATCGATTTTTTTGTTCCACTTATTTATGCATTCATTGGTTGCTTCCTGTGTGTGCCCTGACCAGAGATCGAACTCAAAACCTTGGTGTATCAGGATGGCACTCTAGCCAACTGAGCTACCCAGCCAGGGCCTACACTTATAACTTTTTAGTTCTTTTCCAGTCATAACTAAACCAAAAATTAGGAGTGAAATAGTCATTCCACATATTAAATATATTTTTACATTAAGAACACTCTATATCAATATTTAAGGTTTATAATGTGACAAGTGAGTTTGCTTCTTGATTGTTAATTAATCTGGGTTGGATTGAGGGCCGAGTTACTCACAGAGGACAATATACAGGGTCCGGCAGAAGTAACACCTGCTTGAATGTGATTGGTAATAATATGTATGTAATAACTTATAGTTTTAATTTGAACATTTCACCTGAAATGTTATGTGGTATGATTGAGTATGATATTATACAGAATTACATGCTTATGATTTTGTAATAAAAAAGAGGTGTTATTTGTAATGGACCTTATATATCTAAATTGTTTCTGTGTTTTGTTTTAATAACATAGTAAATAAACTAGTTTTCCTTTGTTATGTTAATAGGAATAGAAGAAGAGGTTGTAAAACAATTTGAGCAAGCTGGGAAGATTTATTTTTAACTTTTGTTCAAAATGAAGTAGGTGATGCATTGTTTTAAGACGTCATCTTGCCTTGGCCAGATGGCTCAGTTGGTTGGGGCATCATGCCCGTACACCAAAAGGCTATGGGTTCAATTCCTGGTCAGGGCACATACCTAGGGTGCAGGGCCTATCCCCAGTCGAGGCACATAACAGGAGTCAACCAGTTGATGTGTTTCTCTCACATCAGCGTTCCTCTCTCTTGTCTCCTTTCATCTCTCTCTAAAACCAATACACATGTCTCTGGGTAAGGATTTTTTAAAAATTATTTTTTAAAGTCATCCTCAGTCTTCATCGGAAGTGTATACAATTTATTCTATAACATTTTATTATACTTAACCTATCTTTTGGTAGAAAGAATTCTGGATTTTACAGACTTTTGAGTTATCTGATGATCCATAAAATACACATTGTAATGAGGTCTTACTGTGCATGACTATACATAGCTGTTGCTTACCATCAGAGTTCTGTAACTTGCAAACTGGCTTTTAAACCTGTTCAGTGAGAAGAGTCCACTGACTATAATGTAGCAATGTCAAGAATCTCAGACAAAAGATTAGGTCACAAGAGATTAGGAGAACAAACAGAAGACCTTTCCCACTTTCATCGTTTGAGACAGGGATACTCTCATTATTCTTGCATTTTATTCCTGGCAGTCATATAACTCATATTGTACTTATCTGTGTGATCTTGAAGGAACAGGACCATGTGAGCTTTCATTACCTTCCCTTATTTTCCAAAAGGCAACTCACTGTCTGTTTATTTTAAAATCTCTACTTATTTTTTAATTTTTTAGAATGATTTTCCACATTTTATAGTAAATGCCTGTATACTCACCACATAAATCTAGCATTTACTGAACTTACTTTACCATTTATCATTTCTTTTGTATTTTTCAAGTTTTTTTATATATATGTTATTGATTATGGTATTACAGTTGTCCCATTTTTTTCTCCCTTTTATTCCCCTGCACCTGCACTGCCCCCCGCCAGCATCCCGCCCCCCCTTACTTCATGTCCATGGATCGTACATATAAGTTCTTCTGTTTCTCCATTACCTCTACTGTTCTTTACCTCCCCCTGTCTATTTCATACCTACTAGTTATGCTTCTTGTTTCCTTTACCATTCTCACCCTGCTCCCTTCCCTTTGATCTCCATTTCTGTGATTCTGTTCCTGTTCTAGCTGTTTGCTTAGTTTGTTTTTGTTTTTGTTTTTCGGTTGAGTTGTTGATAGTTGTGAGTTTGTTGTCATTTTACTGTTCATAGTTTTTTAACTTCTTTTTCTTAGAGAAGTCCCTTTTACATTTCATATAATATGGGCTTTGTAATGATGAATTCCTTTAACTTCACCTTATCTGGGAAGCACTTTATCTGCCCTTCCATTCTAAATGATAGCTTTGCTAGGTAGAGTAATCTTGGGTATAGGTCCTTGCCTTTAATGACTTTGAATACTTCTTGCCAGCCCCTTCTTGCCTGCAAGGTTTCTTTTGAGAAATCAGCTGATAGTCTTATGGGCACCTCTTTGTATGTAACTGTCTCCTTTTCTCTTGCTGCTTTTAAGATTCTCTCCTTATCTTTAATCTTGGGTAACTTAATTATGTTGTGCCTTGGTTTGTGCTTCCTTGGGTCCAACTTCCTTGGGACTCTCTGAGCTTCCTGGATCTCCTGGAAGTCTGTTTCCTTCACCAGATTGGGGAAGTTTTCCTTCATTATTTTTTCAGATAAGTTTTAAATTTCTTCCTCTTCCTCTTCTCTTTCTGGCACCCCTATGATTTGGATGCTGGAACTTTAAAAACTCTCCCAGAGGTTCCTAAGCCTCTCCTCATTTTTTTGAATTCTTGTGTCTTCATTGTGTTTTGGTTGAATGTTTATCTCTTCCGTCTGCTCCAAATGGTTGATTTAAGTCCCGGTTTCCTTCCCTTTACTGTTGATTCCCTGTATATTTTCCTTTATTTCACTGTGCATAGTCTTCACTTTTTCTTCCATTTTGCAACCATACTCAGCCATTTCTGTGAGCATCCAGATTACCAGTGTTTTGAACTGTGCCTCTGATAGGTTGGCTATCTGTTCATCTCTTAGTTCTGTGTCTCGGCACACCTGTTAGTTGGAAAGGGTGGAGCCTTAGGTATTTGTCAGGGCGGGGCAACCCAGGTCGCTGGGTTGTGACGTTTGTGTGGGGGAGGAGTCGGAGAGGGAACAATGCTGCTTCCTTGACTCTCAGCCAGCTTTCGGTCACCTCCCCCATTAGCCACAAGCAAATTGGGCCCTTCTGTTGCTGATTCCCAGATGCAGGGGTTTGTGTAAGTTCTAGGACCCTGTGCGTCTCTCCAGCAGTCTCCTGGGAGGCTGTGAATTTCTCCCGCCTGCCGTAACCCCCACAGCTTTTTACAGCCAGAGGTTTTGAGGCTTTCTTCTACCCCACTGGAACCCTGGTTTGCAGGGTTTGTCTCACTCCCATGCTGTTTCCCCTGGTTTATCTGTATGCACATGTGGGGCCGCCCTGTCCTCTAGCTGTTGCCTTGCCACGTGTCCTCTCTGCCCCAGCTGCACATCTCCGCCCCTCCTACCAGTCTGGATGAATGGTTCCCCTTTAGCTCCTTGGTTGTCGGACTTCCATACAGTTCAATTTTCTAGCAGATCTAGTTTTTTTTTGTTGTTTTTAAAATTGTTGTCTTTCTTTTGGTTGTGTGAGGAGGCAAAATATGTCTACGCCTCCATCTTGGCCACTCATTTCTTTATCCATCTATTAATTTATCTTAATTTTAAAGTAAATTGCTGCTATGAGTACACTTTAATCCTTTAGCACACTGATTAAAATCCACTAATTACGGGTTTTTCCTTTTGATTTAAAATTTACATGTAATTTATATTAATATATAAATCTTAAGTGTACGTTTATTGCATTTTGAGAAATGCAGGACACAGAACACTATTTTCTCCTTAGAAAGTTACCTCATGCCCCTTCTTAGCCAATTCCTGCACTACTTCACCCCTGGAAGCAATCACTGTCTTTTCTAGACTTTCCTGTAAATGGAATCGTATGGTGTTTACTCTTCTATGTAAAGCTTTTTCACTCAGCATTATCTGTTTAAGATTCATACTGTATTTATTTTTATTTGCTGAGTAATAGCCCATCATATGAATATGGCACAGTTTGTTTATCTGTTCTCTACTTCCTGAATTCTTATTTCTGGTAAATATTCAGCTTATCTGGATGTGGCATCTTAAGCATTGCATATGTTAACCCACTGTCTTAGGGAACCATTTTCTCACCTTGGCCTTGATCCCTCAATATTCCTAAGCAGTAGGTGGACCTTCCCCTTTTAGGTGGACCTTCCCCTTTTCTCCCTTCTTCTGCAAGCTCCCCACCCCAACATCTCTTAAATTAAATTGGAATTATAGAATGTTAAATTTAAAAGGAACTTAGAGATCATCTACTTAACACTTCTTTTTTTCTAAGTGCTTTTTTTGTTTAAGATTTTATTTATTTATTTTCAGAAATCAGGAAATGGGAGAAGAGAAACAGAAATATCAATGTGCAAAAGAAACATTGATAGGTCGCATTTAGCGCACCCCCCACCAGGAACCTGGTCCACATCCCGGACATGTACCCTGACTGGGAACTGAACCAGTGACCCTTCAGTTCACAGGCCAGCACTCAATCCACTAAGCTACACCAGCCAGAGCTAAAACTTCCTAAATTAGGAGACCAAGGCCCAATAAGGGAAAGGCATTTTTTACCTAATAAACAGCAAAGTTAAACCAAGTCTTCTGACTCCCAAGTTGAATGTTGTTTACACTGTTTGTTTGTTTAAGATTTTATTTATTTATTTTTAGAGAGAGGAAGGGAGGGAAACATCAATGTGTGGTTGCATTTTGCCCGCCACCTGCTGGGCACCTGGCCTGCAGCCCAGGCATGTGCCCTACACTGGGAATCGAACCAGTGACCCTTTGGTTCGCAGGCCAGTTCTCAATCCACTGAACCACACCAGCTAGGGCTGTTTACACTCTTTCAGAGTAATATCTTAGCCATGAAATTTAATAAGCAGGCAGTTTTCTTTACATAACTCTTTTCTGAAATCATGTGGAACAAATAGAACTCTTGTATATGGCTGGTGGGTATGAAAATGGTACAGCCACTTTGAAGAAATTTGACATTTTTTAAATAAAAAAAAAATCCATTTTTCCTGTGATTCACTAATCCCTCTTCTACCTACTTACCTAACCAAAATGAAAATAAAGTCCCCCAAAAAACCTGTACCTGGTATAAGATGAAAGGCATAAGGTATCAGTAGAGCTCCACGGTAATCAAAGGAAGGAGGAATTACATCTCTGGTTTGGGTGGACTGGGGACAGTTTCACAGTGAGATGTCTTTTGAGATGAACCTCAGGTTTTTAAGAGGCGAGGTTCTAGCCCTGGCTGGTGTGGCTCAGTGGACTGAGTGCCGGCCTGCAAACCAGAGGGTGGCCGGTCCAATTCCCAGTCAAGGCCCATGCCTGGGTTACAGGCCAGGTCCCCAGTAGGGGGCGCCCAAGAGACAACCACCCATTGATCCTCTTTTCCCCTCCCTTCCCCCACTCTCTAAAAATAAATAAATAAAATATTTATATAAAAAAAGTGAGATTCTGTGATGGGAAAGCATTTTATTAATTCAGTTGGGAATAAGGTAGATAAAATCAAGGATTAGAAAAGTGTGGTCTTAGTTAAAATTGCTCTGTTTTTGAAACTATGGGTATAGTATATAAAGAGTAAAGGAAGCCCTGACTGGTGTGGCTCAGTAGATTGGGTGTTCTCCCACAAACCAAAGGGTTACCAGTTTCATTCCCAGCACATGCCTGGGAGTGTGCAAGGAGCAACCAATCAATGTTTCTCTCGCACATCGATGTTCCTCTCCGTCTCTTTATCCTTCCCTTCCCCTTTCTCTAAATATAAACAAATATAATTTTTTTTTAAAGAATAAATGAAAGCTGAAGATGGACAGATGTTTGTGGAAAGCATTAATGGACAGGGTGAGGAATATGTTAACCATAGACTGAGTAGGGAAACATGTATACACACAAGTGAGTTGAATGACATAAAGTTGCTAACATTTTATTTTGTCAAGAAAAGACATTTTAATAAAACTCATTTCATTAAATGCAATAATGAATCCTGTCAAGGAATGCTGATGAGTGCTCATTGGTTGAAAACTTACTAGAAAAATCTTACAGTCCCAAATATCACCTTATAGATTATTTAATTACAAAGAGAAAATACATTTATAATAGAGGAAGCTGGAAATTATTGCCTTAGTCAGTGAATGGAGCTTAACATAACCAATAATGGTAACAAAGCTCCTAGGTGACACCTGATGTGATCCATTGAGCCCGGCACAGTCCCAATACAGTGTTCCTGACAACAGGGCTTAACATGAATCTAATGGTAAAGAAACAACTGGACAAGTTCAAAGTGTGGGGCATTTTACAGGATGATTGCCTGAACTTTTCTAAAATGTCCACATCATGAAAAATAAGAAGCCAGAGGAATTATTCTAGTTCTAGATTAAAAGAGACTAAAAAAACATAACAACTAACGTCATCCATGATACTGATTGGTTTCTCTTCCCAACAACAAAAACCCATCAATTCAATTGTTGGAACAATTGAGCTAATTTGGACATGTGTGATATTGACATATCAGTGTTAAATTTTTTGGCATGATTATAGTTATGTAGAAGAATGTTCTTGTTCTTGGGAGATACATGCTGAAATATTTGGGAGTGAAGGGTCTTGATGTCTGTAATTTTCAGATGTTTCCTTGAAAAACTTCTGCGCACATGCACCCACACGGAGAAAGTATGAATATGAGGGGAAAATGTTAACAGTTGTTGAATTTAGGGGAAAGGTATTCTATTTTGAAATTTTTTGAAATAAAAAATTGGAGGAAAAAGAAACTACCTTCTACTGTCATCATGAAATACAACTTTTAAAAAAAAAGTTCACATCACTTAGCTTTAACAGTTATTAACACATAAGAATTTTGCTTCATCCCTCACACCGATCAAATACTGGACCATTTTGAAGCAGATATCAGGTATAATTTTGTAATTACTTAAGTATCATTCTTTTTAAACAAAACAAAACAAAACAAAAATTAACATACCCCTACGTACCCATAAACCAGCCTCAGATCATCAACTCTGGTTCAATCTTGTTTCATATCCGCTCTTTCCCACTCACTAGATTACCTTGAAGCAAATCCAAGACATTGATTGAAACATTTTTACAAAGACTTTATCACTTCAGTCCTTAGAAAAATTGCTTTTCACAGTGTTATAATCACAGTGTGTCTACACTTGTAAACTGCTTGAAATCGCTGCAGAGGTACAGCAAGGTAGGAGTCTATAAATCGTGTTTATTTTTTCCATTTTAATATAACTGAAATTTCATCAAATTGGCAGATAACATTTTTCTGGAGATTTTATACTCTACTGATCCCCAATTGGAGGAAGCACGAGAGATTTTAAAAAAAATTGAACACCGTCATCTGTACAAGTACGTGGGTCAGACTCAGCCAGCCAACCAGAGAATTGAAAGGGTAAGTTAAGTGGTCAAGCATCTTCCATGAGTGAAAGGTCCTCTGTCCTCCCTGAGGAAAACCATTAACCTGCCACCATATCATGATTCTGTTCTAAGCTCTTTACATTTATTCTCACTTAATCTCTTTTACATTAATACACTGTTCTTAGATCTGTCTTGTAGATGAAAGAAACTGAGGCTTGGGAAGTGATTAAATAACATGCCCATGGAAGCACAGGTAGTGGGCCAGGATTCAAAGCCAAGTCACACTTACTCTCAGATTGAGGTACTTGCATGGGCTTCATTGAAACCTTAAGAACCTGCTACTACCTAACTTTTTTTTCACAGTTTATCAGGTTCTCCCAGATGACAAATGCTTATATTTTTTTAGTTTACATATCCGTTTTCCTCTCCTGCTTGTTGAAGATTCACTCTTCACCAGCAAATGAATAACGTGAGCCAAACTGATAACCACACCCTATTTTTAATGCTTCCTTGGGTTATACTTTATTTCCTCTTGTTTACTAATAGGCTAATGCCACATTTTTTATTTTTTTAATGCCATATTTTTTAAAATGTGGAAATCCTGTTATGAAAATCACTCTATTATGATTTGATTAAAGGATGGTATAGGCACATTTCTCATGTTTCCTGCATGACTCAAATTAGTAGATAATTAAACATAAAGGGTCCTTGCATAGCACCATTTTGTAATACACTGTTTTCTATTAGCTTAGTTAGAGACGGGAAATTGTGACTGAAAGAAGGAAAGTGTAGAACTGTGCTGTCCAATCACTAGCCACTGGTCACACGGGGTTAAAGTACCATTTTCAGAGAGAGAACACCTCTTCATGGCACAATTACTTAATGGTAGAGAACTGGAGTTCAAACCTGAGGAGTCTTATCTTTTCTAGGAAGAGTATAAAAATCTTCCAAAAGAGGTTGCTGATACCAAACCTAAGGACTTAAAGCCTGGAACTAAACTGAAGGCCGAAGATATCATAGTGGATGTAAGTAGATCACCTGATAATATACTAAGTAAAGAATTTTTTAAAGAATAAATCTCCCTCCCCCATTATAAAAAAAGTATGTGTTCATTATGGAAAATTTGGAAAATATAGAAAGATAGAAGGAAAGAAAAGAATCAGAGTTCTACTCCTTTGAAATCTTGGGACTCTGTTCCCTATATATTTTTTTCATAAGGTTCTCTTTTGTTATTTTCTTGTTGATGCATCTTTGAGTGAAGGGCAGTCTCTCAGAAACCATCCTTTGCCAAGTGATATGATGGGTGAACTGCCCTTGGACCCACTCTCTGTTCACTTGGCTGCATATTAAAGTGCCTCAGATTTGCAGATCAGGCCGCAGTTTCCACTTTCATTACATGAGGTTCCACTAGAATAAAGGGATCTCACATCCCGACTTCCTGAGACTCTGAAAGACTTCAGTCCTCATAATGTTTTCCTGGCTCTCGTGTGTCTGCCATTGCCCTCAGCGCATTACTGGGGGACTCCGTCTCCCCCAACACGGTGCAGTACTACTACTCACTCCCCTACCTCCCATTTGGTTTTTCTCTCAAAGTGCAGTTGCCTAGCTGGGGTGTCCAACCTTTCGGTATCTCTGGGCCACACTAGAAGAAGAGAGTTGTTTTGGGTCACACATTAAATACACAAACACTAATGGGCAAAAAGCAGGTGTTCAATAAATTTACGATTTTGTGTTGGACCGCCTTCATAGTCATCTGGGCCTCATGCGGCCCAAGGACCGCGGGTTGGACACCCCTGGTAATGGATATAGGGTCTCTCACAATATAAGCTCCTCTTATCATCTGTTCTTTTCTGGACTGTCATTGCTGCATTACTATGCTTTTGCCCCTTACTTCATTTCCAGTCTCTCGCTCTCCCAAACCTATCCATGAAACCCTTTCGCATTTCACTTTGTAATCAGCAAACTCTACTGTTGCGTCAGCCTCTTGACTAACTAGCTCTCTGTCTGGGTTGCAGCCTAGCTGTCCCTGAGAACCTGGTTTCCCTGCAGCTCATTCAGGAAAAGTACTTTCCTCAGGGTTAGGACAGATTCCTGTTCATCAGTCCTTGTGTTCCCTAGCACCTCCCACATCAAGACCCTATGCAAGATCCCTGCTCCTCTGAGACTGACATCCTCAAGCCATCTATTGCCCTCTTGTTGAAGATTTTGGCGCAGTTTAGAGTCTTCCTGTCTACTCCAATTCCTGCCATTATCCTCAATGACCTCAGCCAGCTCTCAGCATGTTACACTCTGAACCTTATCGACACTCAAAAATACCCTCCCTCTAAAAATCACCTATTTCAGCATTCCTTTTGTGTCCACAAATCTCTCTCTTGTACGCTTCTTCTTAGCTCATCAGTACCTCCAGTTGATTGTCTCCTTATGTCCAGCTTGTCCATAACTTTCTATTTTCATTTCTCCTCCAACCTGACTAAGATTCTGTGTTCCATTAATGCAGTCATTTTCTGCTGTTAACCTCAATTCTCTTGTCTGTCTTTGCATCTACTTAGTATAAGTCCGATTGACATTTCATGGTCGCCAGCCTTAGCTGGGCCCTCTGAATCTTCCTAGCAGGCTTAGTGCAATTCTCCAGTCTCCATAATGACTTCCAAACCATCCTCATTCCTCTCAGACCTCCAGCACTGCTCCCCAACCCCAGCTGTATTCACCCTCAGTGACTAACCCCACCATGGCTCGCTCTTCAGAGATAAAACACAGGTCATGAGGTAGGAACTCCCTCAACTGACACTATCAAATAAGTAAGCCTGCCTCCATCTGCAGCTGTGCTCAGCCTTCCTCTGGTACAATGGGGGAATGTCTCACTTCTTATCAAAAGTAATCCTACTTGTGATCTAGACCAAGGCTCTCCAACAGAACTTTCTGATGGAAATGTTCTATATGTACATATCTATACTGTCCATTTTGGTAGTCACCAGCCACACATGGTTACTGAGCATTTGAAATGTGGCTACTGCAACTGAAGAACTAAATTTTTTATTGTATTTGATGTTAATAATTTGAAATTTAAAAAGCCATATGTGGCTAGTGGCTACCACATTCGGTATTGTAGCCATAGAGCCATTCACCTCAGCACTTCTGTGGAACCTTATGGAATTGATTGTCTCCTCTCTCTGACCTTCCCATCAGCAGTTAAACAGACGTTCATCAGGTTAAGAAGATGACAAGCACTACCCGATAGCTGTCTCCCCTCCCTTAACCTTTCCTGGGTACCATATTTCTCTCTCTTGTGTCTTCTTTATTATTATTATTTCTTTTTCATTTTTTTAAAAAAATACAGTCTCTATTTGGCTGCTTCTGTATATTCTTAGTTTTAGAACTTCTGTCCAGCTAAACTTCAAGCAGTTCTCCATAGAGGCGGTTCTGGGGTTTAGTTGGAATTTTGAAGTGGTTGTGGAAGGAGGCAAGCACGGCATTTACCTGCTCCGCCACCTTGACTGGAAGCCTCTCCTGTCTTCTTAACAACCAAACTTCTAAAGAGTTGTCTTTTTCATTTCTTATTTCCTTATGAACCTTTTTTCTGTTGCCATCACTACACAAAAATTATTCTCACCAAGATCACCAATGACTCCAGTGTTACTACACCCAGCAGACAGTTTTTGTCTGCTCTGCCCTGGAGCTGTTTCTTCTGCCTGGAATTCTTTTCTTTCCTTCCTAGGCCTGGTTAATTCCTGCTCACTTAGTAATTCATTGGTCAATCCCCGAGAGTTCCAGACGACTAGGTTCCCTGGTTACAAACTTTCATGGCACCACTTGCTTTATCTTGGTAGCTCTTATAACAAATGAGGTTAAATAATTACTCAGACAATTGTTTGTTGAACCTCAGTCTAGGTCATATGGTCTGTGGCAGAGCTGCGATCCTATCAGGTTTCCTTACTGTATCTTTAGTGCCTACCACGGTGTCTATTAGTAGTAGTTGTTGACTTTATACCCTACTTATGTTGAAAGTGCAAATTCCCCTCCCCCACCCATATTTCAAGACCAAATCCCTATGGGTTACGTACCATTTTTATTCCACTATAAGCAGATTTTCCAGTGCTCTTCTGAACCTTCAGAGAGCCCTGCTCTATTTCTTGTGATATCCCTACAGCCCAGAATTGAATTCTCATTGTTATTAAATATGTAAGTGATCATTTATTTCTTGCTATTATTGAGGTTATCAACATGGATTATGGAATGAAAGACAAGAATCCTATTGATCATGTTCACTTCTATTCTAAGACTGACTACCGCGAAGCCAAAAAGATTACTAAAAATCAGGTAACTACTTAGGTTTAAAAAACCAGAAAAAAAGGACTATAGTGGCATTTGGAAAATCTTTACAGTATATTTGCATTTTACATGCAGGTGAGGTCTAAAGTCAATTCATATGGTTAAAAAAAAAAGAAGAAAAGAATAAACTTACCTTTAAAATTCAAGTATACCTGATTTTACATAAGCTAGACCACCTTAACAGCCAGTTTTTCCTCTTTGCTGAACCTAAATAAAAGCATTGTTTTTAGTGTAAGGGCCAGGTTATTAATCTGTTGGGAAGGGAATGTTGTATGGGTGAAGTCATGTAGGTTAAATGGGCTTATTTTCCTATCTTTTATATGACAGTCTGTGGTTTACATACAATTATACAATGTAAACCTTTAGCTTTTTATTAACTGAACGCACAAATTATAGGGCATTTTGCAATATGGAAACTACCATGAATTGTTTTCTTTGGATTATAATTAGGATAAAATAACAAAGCAATGTGGTGCTTTTAATATAACATCAAGAATGGAACTCAATGGCTGGTGTGGCTCAGTGGATTGGGTGCTGGCCTGCAAATGAAAGAATGGAAGTTAGAAACAACTAATCTCTCTTTAATGTGTGAATTCAAAGTGACAGTGGAATCTTTTCTTCTTTAAAAAGGTTTCATGCCTTCTGCCAGAGAGATTTGCAGAACAGCGAATTCGAGTGTATTGTAAGAAGATGGATGACAAGAGTGTGCAAGCTACACGACAACATTTTGTAACTTGGTGCGAAAACAGAAATTTCCCTGTGCCACAGGTGGGTGCCTTCTTATTAACTTACTTTGCAAAATTTTTACTATTTAAGTAAAAACCAAAAGAGATCCTTGCATCCCTCTGAAAAGTTCTCACTTAAATTATATTTTATTTGAAACTCAGTTTACTGAAACTTGTAGACAGTTTAAATTCTCAAGAGTGAGAGAGTGGAGAGGGAGTGGAGCCAAGCCATGGTTGCCAATCCTGTAGAGAATGTTGTTAAAGTTATCCTTCATTGATGCACACATAGTAGATGCCTGGCACAGAGGAAGTGACCACTCAAGATTTGTAGACTGAATGCAGATAATTAACAGGCAGGTGGGAAACAGCATTTTACTTCCCAGTCTAGGACACTCTCTCACAACATCATAGCTGCCTTTTCCCCCCATGAATTGGACCCTAAAGGAAACAAAAATGAAAGGTGAGGCGTGAAAGAGTAGCTCAGTACATTAGTTCTGTCTCAGGTGCCAGGCGGAGTGGTCCAGGTGACTTGTCAGGATTCAGAGTTGGGAGAAGAGACAGAAAAGCCTCCTGAAGGAGGGAGGATCCTGCCCGATCTAGACGGCCAATTGTGTTTATGAACCGTGGACATACTGGGCCATGGGAACAACACAAAAGCATGGAAGTGGAGCAAGCAGACTGTGTCTGGGAGGACCATGGAGAGACCTGCTGGCTGGGGTAGAAAATTCTTACTTTTGAGTAGTGAGAAGTTACAAGAGGAGAGTGGACTAGATTATGGAGAATCTTGGATAATCAGCTAAGAAAGATCTTTTTTTCTTATGTACAGTTGGGAGGGAATCAAGAGTATTCAGGGCTTACCATGCTGCTGTCACTGTTATTTACTTCTTTGTGGGTCTTGTCCAACTAGAGTGAGACCCATGGGAATAAGGAGGGAAGGATGTCTTCTGTCTTTAATACCATAACACCTAAGGAAACTAAATCACTCACTAAGGAAGAAAACTCTAGCGGCAGATGGATTGGAACCTGGAGAGACTGGGAGCAGAGAGGCAAGAGGCTATTGAAGCTCAGCCATTGTTGCAATAACTACCTTAAGTCTAGATACATTCACTCATTGGATGAGTACTTTTGCCTGGTCCTGTGTTAGGTACCGCCGATGGAACAGTACCTAGAACAGACATAGTTCCCACAGGTCTCACTCCAGCTGGGGATAACAGACACAAAATTAATCACAGTTCAAGTGATGTGGCTAATGCTTTGGGGTGGGGGGCAGCACGTTCGGAGCCTTAGAGGATATAAAGGAGGAGCATTTAAGCCAGGCTTGGCTGGTTTGGAAAAGCTTATTTAAAGGAGGCTTTAGGATCTGAGACCTGAAGGATGGATGAGAAGACGGGAAGGGGAGGCCCAAAGATGGGAGAGAACACGGCGCATTGAGGAGAGGGCTCTTGGGCCCCGGGCCAAACCCTGTCATCCATGAGCAGTGGGAGCCACTGAAGTGTTTTCAGCAGGAGACTGACATGTTCAGGTTTGCATTTATAAACTCAAAGTTGAAACTAGAATGAAACTAGAATGGTTAGAAATAAGGACATTTGGTAGATATTGAGACGGATCTGAAGACAAATACTGTCAGCTTTGAGATAGGCAGATCTTCCAAATATGATTATCATGGCAATTGAATGGCTGCTTTCTATAATTCTCTCAAGGCAGATCCAATGTAATTCAGACGAAGAAATTTTAACATAGGGGCCAATATACAAACTTTTTGGCAGAACTAAACAAGTAAATAGGGGCCATTTGAGACAACAGCAGGAACTGGCTACCACTTCTAAGGTGTGAGGCGGGAGTCCAGGTGCTGGGGTCACCTGCAGAAGCTAGAGACACTGAAGAGTCACAGCCCCTGCTGCCTGTGCCAGAGGGGGAGGGGAATGTCCAGTTCCTATTTCCCAGCCTTCCACTAGTGCCTCCCACTGGCCAAACCTAACTGGAAGCCAGCGGGTCACAAGCTGGGGACTGTAGTTTATGAGAGCAGCTCCTCTCGCAGAGCCGAGCGGAGGAGAGGTGACGGGATCGGAGAGTGAACAGGCAGAGGGGCGCAGCGCTCAGCCGCAGCCGGCGCACTCCCAGGGCCATCAGCCTCTCCGAGGTCCTGTGGCCTCATCGAACCTGAAAGAATCCATTCACAAACTCAAGAATGGATTCGGGTGGAGTCAGTTATTAACACGCCTTGCTTCCTGCACAATTTGTCATAGTGTCACTTCACTTTGAGGCCATTCTTACCTTGCGTGGGGTCTACACTGACAGGCCAGAGGTATAGCTTTGTAGAGAGAAGTTCAAGTTCTGTAGGTACATACTGTCCTTCCCTTTTTTTTGCCATCTTATAGACCAGGGCCGTGTGTTGTTTAGGGGACCAGGCAAGGGAGAAGCAGGGGTCCAGTGAAGTCCCTCTTTCTCCTGGAAGAACAGGACAGTTTACATTCTGTGAAGGTGCATGAAGGGAGAGGACCGTGGACCCAGGCAGTGTGCTGCTCCTGGCCGTCTTGGAAAAGAATAGGCCTGGTGGCCTTTGCTTCTTATCTCCTTAGGACTGTGGTGTTTCTGATTTGACCCAAGCACAGGACACATATAATATGGAGTTTCCCAAGAGTAAATAGTTCTGGAAGGAATCAATCTGTGAGACGATTTATGTACCCGGCACTTTCACTGAAATTATGAGAACTGACTTATCTCTGTTGCTACGGTTTGTTTTTTTTTTCTCCTTGACAGGACAGTGAAATTATAACACCTTTAAAACCAGATGACTACCCGCAGGTGACTCCTAAAAAAGTAGACAAAACCCGAACCAGGCTGAATTTTCTAGATGCCTCCATGTGAATGTCTGCAATCGTTTGTTTACAAAAATCTCTTGCTCTAGCACAATTAATTAAGTGAGGGAATTTGATTATAGAGTTATACAAATTTAGTGACAACTAGTGCTTTTTATTTTATATTTTGAATGTACACATATGATAAAGCTACACAATTTTTATTCAAAGAAACAAAAAGGTATTAGGCAAATCTTGCTGTATATGCTATGAAAAGCATTACCTTTTCTATTTTTAATATTAACTAAAGCCTTTCTCTTTTAGTAGTGTATATTTTTTTAGAATAACAGTTCTTTTGTATACTTTGAACTTTTGTGACATGATGGTTTTTAAAAAATAAAATGGGGAATGATACAAGGGTGCACATTGGAATTTGAAGGTGGGATTGTCATGAACAGTGATGGTTAAAAACCAAACACAAAATCCTAGCCCCCAAGGAGGTGCCACCCTGAGGCCGGCTTGCATTAAGTGATCAAAACATTAGTAAAGACACCTTCCCTCACTCTTCAGCCACAGTAGGGTAAGGGGTAGGATGTGAGAACCAGGAGAGGGCTCCAACTCTTTAGTGAGAAACCTCATTAAATTATTAAAAATACCTGAGGGCTCTGGCCTCTGAACTGGGACATGAATACCTTTTAAGTGACCTTACCCTCAGTGGCAGAGGCATCCCCTAAAAGCAGGCTGTTCTCTGAGTCGGTTGTGGCTCCAGGCCCAAGCAGGTTCTTTCTCACCTGAATACTCACTGCCGGGCCTGGAGAAGGAGGCTCCCCTCCAACCTGCTCCCTGCACAGCTCTTGTGAGCTGAGCAGAGGCCGCCACAGGAACCCTCCTCCGGGCTGCTTAGAGCTGGGACTTTGTGCTGGTTTCAGAGCAAAGACTGAGCTGCCCGTGCTGAGATGAGTGATTACCCAGTGAATTCCAGGTTCCCCCCGTAAAGTGGATTTCTTTACCTGCAGCGGTGGAGTGGACCCCACTGTAACTGAGCAGTGCTCCTTTGCTGAGCACCTACCCCGCCCCCACACACACATTTCCAGTTCTACAGAATTCGCCAAGAGCAAAGTCTGGAGTTAGAGCCAAAGCCATTGTTGGCCAGAGGGCCCTGAAAATGCAAGGCAGTGAGGAATGGGAGTGTGAGCTCCTGCCCTCCTCTGCTTTGCTGGTCCCTGTGGCAGGGGGAGTAGGGAGCCAGCCCTGGCTCTGGGCAAGAGTAAGTGGTGAAGGGAGGCACTCAGACCCCAAGGCCAACAGAGTATCCTCACTCCAGAGTGCAACCGCCTCCCTCTGTATAAGCAGACTCTGCTCTGTTGACATGGAGGTGAATGTGTTTGGAATGTCTGCCATTCTGTATTGTCTCCACCCCCTCCTCCATCCATTAATAGATAATCAAGAGTTGATACTAATTAATAGGAGAATAGCTAAAACCCTTCTCTCACTCCCATGGCGATGCCGTGTGGATGGGAATGTATTCACATGTGGGCTCAGAGAAGCACAGAGGAGGGAAGTCAGCTGTGGTACTGGGTCACATCTGTTTTGGCCAAAATCCCTCTAAAACATTCAGTGGGGAGAACTCTAGGCCTCAGACTTCATTAACCCAGATCCATGGTTAAGAATGTAATGATGTAATGTTTTTCTGCTAAGATTGTTTTATTTTTGCAACCCCTACCTTTAAATCATTGTGGTTTACTTTATGATTGTGTAGTACCGATACTGTATCACTGTGTTGAAAAACAACTTGAATCTATTGCATATAAGGCAGCTGCACTTTATGCTTCTTACAACTGTTTTAATGATGAGAACGTTGTGTCATTTACAAGGTTAGATTTATCTTAAGAAACATCTTCACAGTTTGTATAAAAATGGAGACTTTAACAGCTTAGTCTCTAGAGCAACTGTATGTTATCGCCTTGAGATTGTAAACAGAACTGTGATTTGAAATGACCGGTTACTTAATTTGGATGAGGGAAATACCTGTAATAAAGCTTCATAATGGATCTCCATCTTGATGCCAAAGGTGTCTTCCTTAATGACTCTCTCACACTGTGTGCCTAGTTTTGACCCTTTTGTGCAAAGGAAATGAATGGGTCTGGGAACCTACTCAGATTGTTCTTAGTACCTCCATGCTGTGTGGGGTCTATAAGAGAGGAGATGGTATTTATTAACAGGGCCTAGGTTATTTGGTTTTTCTCATTCAATAATGGCAAGCAAATAGCATAATAAAGAATGTTTCCCTTCTGGCAGGAGGTAGGTACAAGCATGGGAGGAGATATGGATTTTTTCTTAGTTTTCTGAGCTCCTGTTGTGCCCCAAAACACATCCTCCCAATGTTTTAACTTCCTGAGGTTCCCATTTACAGAGTTTTAGCTTCTTTATCAAATATGCATATTGTTCATTTGCCACTGTCACATCTCTATCGTGCAAGCACCTGGCACACTGGTGGCAAACAGAAAGCCTTCATTGTTCTAGAAAAAGCATGACACTACTAGCGTCTTTATTCGTTTCACTGTTTGGGCCTAGGTGTCTACAATTTGACAATAGTCTTTAAGTCAAAATAATTTCCAAAACATAGAGTAGAATTCCATTTTTGTAAGATATACATATATCTTTCCATGGAAAACTGCCTGGAGGATATACATGAAAATGTTAATGTTTTGCAGGGTGGTTAAATTTTAGGCAGTTTTAATTTTTTTTTAATGTATTCTGTTGTCTTCTACAAGAAATATGTATCAGTTGCATAATTTTTTAAAAGATAATTCTCATGAGGGACTCCGTGCTGCTCAGGTGAGGTATAAACATCATTCACTCCTTTAGTCATCTTTCCAAGAGAGCAGTTCCTGCCCCCGTGCCTGTCCCCAGGCCACCGGAGGCTGGCCCACAGCCACAAGTCAGCCACTGGGACACTTGGCCCTCTGCGTTCAGGACAGAACGGGCGGCCCGCGGGAGGGAGGCCTAGATGGCATCCGTGAGCAGGTCGGAGCACCTGCTGCCTCAGGAAGCTGCCCGCCACGCGGCCATCAGCTCAGAACCCAGGCCTCCAGTTCCTTGATGCAGAACTGCTCCCGCCGGGCCAGCACCTCATTGTTGAAGGTCGCACAGGGGTGGCTTCCCCCGTGATACAAGTCTCCGTCCAACCACAGCCCAAACTGGCCACTAAAGGGAAGAGGGAAGTGTCTCATGGCTCTCTCCTGGGTGCTGAGACCCCGCAGGTCCACACCATCAGCCCTTGGCCACACCGTGACCGCAGCCTATGTTTCAATGTCCCTTAAACTGATTTATCCTGAATCGTTGGGGACTCCACACATTGTTCCCCACAGGGTTTAGAGTATTTTTTTCCTTAACTTCTGTGATTTTAATAAATATATACAATGGTACACCCTCGCCACAGTTTTAGAACATTTGGAATGTTTTTAGGACAGCAAGGCTTATCCACAGGAGGGACTCTCACAAGCGTGGACTCTGAGCCCAAAAGACTTCAAGAGAGCGTCCATTTTAATTCCTGCACCCGCCAGCAAACCTAGACTGGAGCTGGAAGTGAGTTCCTGCAAGTCAGCAAAGGCTGGTGTGCTGGGGCCAAGCTGCCTCTCCATGGAGGCTCTCCAGGCAGCTGGGAGAGCGAAGAGCTGGCCTGGTACTGATCCAACAGTGCTGGCATCTTTACCCTCAGGTTAAGATTGATTCTGCCCGAATTTGTGGGTCACAGCAGGGGTGACACTACCCTTTTCTTCCTAACCCACTCCACCTCCACCGCTTAACACGCACACTCAGGCAGGGCTCCTGGGAGTTACGTTCCCTAGAATTAGGGTGCTGACAGTGAATCTGAAGCTAGCCTCATCCAACCATGTGGAATGCTCTTCCCAAAGTTACATCAATTCAGACTAAGCCGTCACCAACTGTAAGCACTTAGAGGGAGAGTCCATGCCATCCTTTCCCCTCAATGTTGACTTAGAGGGGGTGGAGGGAGCTGTTGAAGGAGGAGGCCTGAACGGTAACCACCAGCCTCCCCATTTTATCTGGGGCAGAAGGGACCAGAACACAGACCACTGCGAGACTCAGGAAGAACTGAGACACGCACCTGCCACTGCCCATCATCAGGAGGTCCAAATCTCCTTTCACGAAGAAAGAGTTGCTTCCTGTCCACTTAAAAACCTGGGGATTACACGAAAGAGCTCTGGTTACTGTCCTGCAGTTCGACTCCACACCACTGGGTGGCAGTGTCGTAAAGGGAATGGAACGTCCAGACCCCAACTCAGCCGCCGGAAGCACTCCGGGCTCCTGGCTCTTGAGATTTCTTGCCAGGTTCTGTGCAGTTCACCGGCCCCACTCCCCGCCCTCCACTGCACACCCACCCCCGCCCCGCCCCGCCTCCCTCCTTTGTTTCTCCAGTCTAAGTCCCCTTAGCCTGCCTGTTCTAAGATAGAACAGAACCTGCTGAGGCTTCCTGCTTCCAAAGCCAGAGAGAGGAGGGGAAAGTCCAGGCCAGGAGTTGGGCCCTGATTCTCCCATTAACAAACTGTCCTGTCCCCTCCTCTCTCACTGGATGCAACACCAAGCCCACCCATCCCCCAGTGCTGGCTCACACCCAGTTTCTCAGCAAGTCGTGCAGCTCCCGCCCCAAAGGGACCCCCTAGCTGCCACCATTTCTGTGCTATCCATCTGCATTCACTCTTGCCCACCCCATCCACACCAAGTCGCTTCTTGCTGGATCACATCTTCCGCTGTCTCCTGCTCACAGCCCATCTCTGCACTGCAATCTGAGCGATCCATCAATTCAGAATCGAATTGGATATTATCGTTCCTCTCCCTAAAGACCTCCAATGGCTTCCCACTGCAATCAGAATAAAACCCAACCCCTTTTCTCTCTGATCACTTCCTTACTGACAGCACTTCAGCGACACTGGCCTTTCTGTCCCTGGGACATCCAAAGCTATTTGTTTTAGGACCTTCACTTTGACTGACCCCTCTGCCCAGAATGCCCTTCCTGCATTCCTCAAATCCTCAGTGGCCCAGTTCTCATCTTTCTACCCAAATGTCATTCCGGAGAAATTTCCTGGACCACAGTACCTACCGTAAGTAGCCCTTCCTCCAAGACTCTTTCTCCTTTCTCACCGAGATGGCCCTGTTTATGTGCCAATGTATCATGGCCTGCCCCCTGGCACGTGACCCCGGTGAGGGCTGTCTTTTCTCCCAGCCATATTCCGGAGACATGGTATAGATGTTTGTTCAATGAATAAATAATTCAGAAGTTAATTTAGAAAACAAAAGATGTCTAAAGCATAGTATATTATTGTTTATAATTAATTGCAAAACATGCTGTGAACAGCTATAGGGTTTTTAGCAAAAACAAAAAATTAAAAATGGACTAATAAAAGGTAAGCCTGGGCCCAGAAGAGATGAGAAAATATTAGCAAGTGACCACGAGAAGACAGAGCCATTCAGGTCCTCCTCTACTTTCATCAGGGAACATGACCTTCAGACTCGAAGGAGCAAGATAAACGTTGCCACAGAAGAAATTAAGGCCACGCTCACGGTACTGCCTGGGGTGGTGATCAAGGAGATGCTGGGAATTCAAGAAGAACACAGGCAAGTGCCAGAAGATCAAAGGCAGGAAAAATTAACCAACTTTTGAAAAGGTGAACTTCGTTTGGCACCAGGCACTGTTTAGGTAAATGGCTTGAATGGTATCCATAACGGACAAAAATGCCTGCCTCATAGGACTCTCAGTCTAGTTAGAGGAGGCAAATCTGTAAGTAAAATAATTAGTACATTAGGTGGTGACAAATGCTCAGGAGACAAAAGGAGAGAAGGGCAATGAGGTTTCCAGGGATGGAATAGTATACATTTAAATCAGGTGGTCAGAGAGAGCCTCACTGAGGCGGTGACAACGGAATAGAGAACCGAAGGACGTGAGAACTGAACTCTGTGGAGATGCAGTGGAGGGCACTCTAGGCAGAACACGTGCAAAGGCCCTGAGGTAGGAGCAGGCCTGCATGTTCAAGGACCAGCTCTGAGGACATTGTGGCTAGAGCAGAGTGAAATAAAGGGGAAACAGCAAAAAATAACAACAGAGAGAGGCCAAAAGATGGAAAGACTTGTAGGTTCTTGTAAATGTTTTTGCTGTTCTCTGAGTGAGAAAGGAGGCCATTCACAGCGTGGAGCCAGGCAGTGACGTGCTCTGACTTACCTTTTAGAAGGATCACTTCATCTACTTCAAGACTGAAGGTGGAAGCATGAGGAGGCAAGAGCAAGAGCACAGACAAGTAATGACAGTGGCTTGACCCAGGATGATAACAAAAGACATGGTGAAAAGCGGTGGATTCTGGATGTCGATAGAGAAGGCAGGGCAGTCAAGATTCATGGGCAGCTCAGATGTAGGGTGTAAAAGAAAGAGATGTTAAGAAGGACTCCGAAATTTTCGGTCTCAGCGGCAGGGAAGATGGAGGTGCCAATTCACTTTGTTGGGGAAGTGGCAGGAGGGGCTATTTTATGGGGGAAGTTAGGAGCTCAGCTTTGGACACGTGAGGCTTGAAATGCCATGTTTGAGATGCAAGTGGAGATGCTGGGTAGTGGCCGGATGCAGGGGAGTTTGGAGTCCGGGGGGAGAGGCCATCAGCGCATGGATGGCATAGACTGAGAGTGGGCAAGGCCTTGAAGGGAAAAGGGGCAGTTAGAGAGGAGACGAGAATCAAAACAGCTCTAGGATGTTGTGACATTCAAAGTTTGGGGGAGATGAGGAGGAACCAGCCAACGATTTTGCCCAAGAGCTGTCAGTACAGTAAGAGGAAAACTCTAAAACTTCAGGTTTGTAGCACGTGAACCCCAGAAGGCCAGTGGGATGACTAGTATCCAGCATGGCTTTACTATGAAGAGCTGAGCCCTTTCCTCTTTGCTGATAAGATTACCAGGTTAGTTGATGGAGGCAATGCAATGGATGTGGTGCATTTGCCTACAGCAAGGCAGCCCACAGCTCCCTGTGACCTCCTTGTCATGTGACTAGGTGCTTCTGCTGTTGGATGTATCTGCAGGTGTCTTGTTCTGTGCATTGGAGAGGAGGTCTAATCACAAACCGAAGTACCCAGAACTATATATTTCTCCATCCATTTTGTCCCTTCACCTTCCTTTACCCTTTCTCCCTTTGTTAAACCAGCTTGGCAAAACCCCAGTCATGGAGGCACCCTCTCTCCATGCCTGAACCTCAGGACCTGAACGTTGCTGGAGGAAAGCACATACTTAAGTAACTGGCTCGCTTTTAAATTCAGTCTCAAACCTCCACTCAACACTGCCTGGCTGTTCTTCCGTTCCCCACTTTTCTCCCTTTCCACTCCCGTGATCACTGTTTGGTGCCTTCCCTCCCCTCAACCTTCACGCACTCTCCTCCATTCTCAGTCACAGCGATGACCTTAGCCCGTACTTCATAAGGAAGCTGAAGCCATTAGACATATCTTCCTACCCCAACACCCACAGATCTACCTTGGACCAATCTTGTCTTTCCAGCCTGTATCTGGTGAGCAACAAACCTTTTCCCGTCAGAGCCAGTCAGTGGTTGCCAAGGGCCTACGGGGTATTTTTTTTTAATCCTCACCTGAGGATAAGCGTATTGATTTTAGAGAGAGGGGAAAGGAGGAAGAGATAGGAAGAAAAACATCGATCGGTTTCCTCTCATATGTGCCCCAACTGGGAACAAAACCTGCAACCCAGGCATGTGCCCTGACCAGGTATCGAACCCTCAACCTTTTGGTTTATGGGACAACACTCCAAGCAGCTGAGCCACCCAGGCCAGGGTGAGCAATTTTTTTAAACAAAGATGGGCAGGCCAAGGGAGCTGCTCTGCTTGCCACTGCCCCCCTGCCTTCTCTCTGTGGAAAGATGGAAGACACCAGACACCCCAGCACAGGGGATGGAGCTGGGGGTCACTGGGACCCTGGGACCTTTGTCCTGCCCTAGACTCCACTCCCCCCGGCAAAGTTGGGAGCATCACCTTCAGTTGTGGGGAGAAGGAGAAGAGGAATGTCTCGCCAGTACCATAGAAGCCTTTGCTGAGTCGAAAAGCTGAGGAGGAGAAGGCCCCAAACATCTGGAAAGCAGAAGAGCGTGCAGTTTGCAGCTGGAAGGGAGTTGGCGGTCCTCTGGAAGCCCCCCTTTCCAAGCTTGGCAATATAGGCTCATCCCAGGGGGGCAGCTGGGGAGCCTGGGGCAGAGCTGGAGGTGGGAGAGGCCCCTGGGCCTGTCAGCAAGAGCTGCTTCCCTTCACGCTCCCCCGGGGCCAGCTCACCTGCCCATCCTGGTCCTTCAGCGCCAGCAGCACCGGCCCACTGTGGCCCTCCATCTGCCTGTACAGGCTGCGCAGGCTGAAGCCGTCCCTTGCCGTGCAGAAGGCCAGACTCCAGGAGTGTCCGGTGACGCTTGGCGGGAGGTGGAGGCTGAGCTGGGGACAGGTCGGGAGGTGAGCGAGGGATCCTTGTCCTCACAGCCTCCATGCACGACACCCTTGGGGCCCCAGGGCGCTGAAGTTGCACAGCCGCCACTCACACAGCCATGGTACTTCATAGGTTGCCCAGCAGTTTCCTATTTCCGGGGACTTTCACACCTATTAGGAGTCATCCTCAGAGAGGAGGATTATTTAATGGTGAAGGAACTAAGGCTTGGGGAGCTGAAGCAACGTGCTGAAAACCCACATGGGGAACACGTGGTAGAGTCAGGATTTGAACCCAGGTCAGGACTCTCTCCCCTTGGTCACCCTGGCCCCTAGTGGCCAGAGAATAGATGAGACCCTGAACCCCCCAGTCCTCTGCCCTCATCCTCCCACCCCTACTCCAACTCTGGCTTCAGTTCCCAAAGTCTGGTTCTACTTAAAAATTAGCTTATTTCATTATATCTTAACCTCCTGGCCCAGCGAAGAGGGTGACGCTGGTATTACTGGATCATTTGACAAGTGGGAAAGGAAAGCCCAGAGGAGAAATGACTTGCCCCAGGTGACACAGTGACGGGGGTCCAGAGCCAGAGTGACCCCAGGTGTCCTTGGACCTGGCTGGGAGTGGGGCGGGAGGATGGGGCTCTTAGCCTCAGGGAAACTCTGCACCGCAGAGCGGACCGAACCTGCCTCATCTCCAAGGCTCCCAGGACCTGGCTGGCTTCTGCCAGCTGGGGCTCCACAGGGTCCTCAGGAGCTGGGGCAGCAGCTGCCTTCTCCTCTTCCTCATCCCCTTTCTCACCCCCGTCCCCAGACAGAGCGTCCTCCACCTGGCTGGGCTGTGAAGACACAAAGACGCCTGGTGAGTCAAGGGACAGGAGACACCAGCTCCCACATCTCCCAGCCTGAGAGCCTCAGCCCTCCCACCCACCCACACACCCCGTCCAGGCCCCCACGACCACCAGCCCACCCAGAGGAGGCTGGGAAGTGTCCACCACAGACAAGACCCGGCCCTGCCTCCAGCCAGCTTCCTCCTGGCGCGTGCTAGCTAAAGGTTAGAATCATGCGCGCCCATTGGATGTGGCCACGGCCCCGTGGTTCGTCTGCCTGTCTGCTCGGCATCCCGGGTGGGTGCCAGGGATCCAGTTCTCAGCCTGGGTGCCGGAGAGAAGGGCAGGCGACCGCGCAGCTCTGCGCTCTGCAACTGTGTAAGACTATACGTGAAGTAATGATAATAAGAAGAGCAATAGTATTAACCAGAGTGGCTGACACTGAGCAGCACACCCTTGACCAGGCCTGTGTGAGGGCTTTGCTGTGTGTGATTTCTCTGAATTTCTCCAAGAATCCTAAGAATGTGCTTCTTATTATTCTGATTTTACAAAGGAAGAAAATGAACCCCTGAGGCCTCCCTGTCAGCCAGTGAAATGATCGTGTATGTAGTCGTAGGTGAAGCGTGTTCAGGTTTGTGTAAAATGCGCACTCATCCATGTGAATGTGTGTGTTGGCTTAAAATACAGTTGTATAGACAAATTGGTATGAGAAGGTATTGAGTGTAACTGTGTGTTTACCTGTCAATGTGTTTGTAAGTGTGAGTTAGGATTGTATAAATGTATGTTTGTGAGTCAATGGACATGTATGTTAGTGTATCCATTCATTCATTCATTCATTCATTCATTCAAGCTTGCTCTCTGTGCCAGAGTGTGCGTGTGCTGGTGTGTATATGCTTGCGCACAATGACTTCTGGGCTTTTCATAGGCAGGAGAGACCTCAAGGATGAGTGATGAATGGACATTGTTTTCCCATTCCCCAGGTTCAGGCCTAAGGCGGGGGTCCTAGCTGTGTGGGCCTTCTGGACAGAGCTCCATCTGGCACCCACTCCAGGGAGGAAGAAATGGAACAGCAGTCTGTGCCCCTTGAGGGTCTCAGGACTGTGGGGCTGCGAGCAAAGTCCCTCTGTTCCTCAGTCTGCGCTGTGAACCCCAGGCCAACTGGGGAGGGACTCGGAAGAGGAACAAATCACCTGCCTGCATTCATCCCTAGCCCAGGCCCCACCCTGCCAGAGAGCTTACCTCCCCCGACCTTTTCTGATCTAATCCTCAGCCCAGGCTGAACCCCTTACCAGCCGAGTGTAACGCCAGCGAAGGCCTTTCATTCTCCTGTCTGAATCCAGCTGCGGGCAGTGAGGAGGCCTCCGTCCTACCAGGAGAGGAGGCACTACTGGGCAAGGCTTCCAGATGAAAGGTAGAAGTCTGGGGCACACCTGGCTGGCTCCACGCCCACCCAGCTGCCCTTTGCTCACTCTCACCTGTCACTCCCAGCTGGAGTTGTCACTGGGTGTGCCTATGAGGACAGATGAAGTCAGCTACACTCGGCATTCAAGGCCTCACTTGCGTGTTAGCCATACACACAGTAAATTCTAGGTGTGATTCCCTTCTACCTCCTTGCCCTTCCAGCAGTCTGGCCTAGAGACTCTGGTTCCCTGTGTGACTTTGGATAAGTCCCTTGGATCCCTGGGCCTCAGTCTCCCTGCATGTAACACGTTGGACCAGATCATATCAGAGGCCCTCGCAATACCAACAGCCTGCGATTCAGGTCCCTCTCAGAGCCAATGAGTGAATTATGACAGAAGCTTCAGAAGGGTCGCACTAGGCCAAATCAGGTTTTTAAAAAGCAAAAGCAAAAACAAAACCACTCCATTTTTCTCATTAAAAAAGTAGTACATCTGTACTGCAGAAAATGTGAGGAATCTAGAACTGAATAAAGATAAATATAAAAATATTCATAATTCCATCTCTCAGAGAGAAAGTCTACTCCTAAGGGTATTTTTCCAGTCTTCTATATTTATTTCCTAAATATGTGTGTACACACATTTATAAATAGATCATACCATGTATAGTTTTATAAAGTGCTTTTTCCACTTAAATGAGAATTTCCCAAGGACACCTGTTTTTTAATGACTGCTTATTATTGCATCATAGGATGTACATAACTTATTCCTCAAATCCTGTTTGTTTCTAATTTTCTCTGATTATAAGCAAAACAGTAATGAACTTCCTTATTCATAAATCTGGTTAAATCCTTCATGATAAATTTCAAAAGTTGAATGCTGGATCAAAGGGCATACATATATTCTTGGCAAATATTTCCAAAAAGGTTTCCTGGTGCTGAAAGCTGACCCGTGTCCAGGTATCCTGAGGGAATCTCGGGGCTCTATCTCACACCCTCAAACTACAGGTAAGAAAACTGCCACTCAGAAAGTGGAAGGGACTTGCTACAGCCACACGACAGTACAGCACGGAGCTTAAGAGCATAGGCTCTGGAGTCAGGGTGTTCAAACCCTGGTTTTGCCACTTACTTGCTGTGTGTCTGTGAGCAAGTTACTTAACATCTCTGTGCTGAAGTCTCCTCATCTGTAAAATAGCTACCTCATAGAGCTGTTGTAAGAAAATACCTCAAGAACTGGTATGCTAAACCAGGTCTCCATCTTTCTGTCCCCGCAGTGCCTGGTGTTTGGTGAGCACAAGATAAATGGCAGTGCCTTTGCTAACCTGCCCCCCACCACTCTCTCTCTCTCTGCCTCTTTGAGACATCCAGGGCTCAAATGCCTGACAAGTGGCCACTCAGTCTCTGCCTGGGCAGCTCTGGGACTGATAGTCGCTGGGTCCCTCGCAGGGGTGAGGAGCTTGTGGGGAAAGGCAGGAGCCAGGGAAATGCGCTCACCCTGCCAAGCTTCTGGCGACCCCCTCCGGCAGCCCGATGGTTTCCTTAGCGTGTGCCCTAGATCTCCCAGAGAGGGGCCACCTCCGGAACCGACCCTGCCCGCCTGGCGGTCCGAATGCAGCAGCTTTAGCTCTGCGCCCTGGCGTCCCGGCAGGCGGCTGGCATCTCCGTCCTGGCCCGGCTCCAGGGCCTCTTTGGCTCTTATACCTGCCCAGAGGGCGGCAGGCCCTGGCCCTGAGCCTGCTCCGGTTCCAGCTGGGAAGGCCTGGTGGTGATTATCATCTATCAGAAACTCAAAGCCCACACACACACACAAACAAGGCCTGTCACCCTCTGGTCTCCAGCTCTGCCCTCAGCAGTCCCGAGACATGGGGACACTGGACTGCTTGGCTCTAACTCTCACCTCAGCTACCAGGTGCCACCTGGTGCCTGACACCTGGGGCTGCCCCTGGGGTTCCGCTCTCTTAGATGAGGTGGCTGGCGATCCTGTCCTCATTGGCCTGTTCCAACATTAGGTGAGAGCGTGTACAGGAAGCCCCGTGTTTTGCACACAGTAGGCACTCCCTCAGTGGGGGTTACTTCTCTGCCCTCAGCTCATAGTGGGGCTTCAGTGAATGCTGTGTTGTCATCACAGAACCTCAAAGGTGGAAGGGGGTCTTGGCCAATCCCAGAGCAAGTGGCCTCCGCCCAGGGCAGCCTCCCCTGGAAATATCCCCACCAAATGGTCTCCCGGCCACTCTCGGCCTCACTGCATCCTCACACAGCTGAGAGCCCCTCTCCTGCTGGGCCCTGTGGAGAGGACGTGGGTCCCTAGATACTCCGTCCATGGCCAGGCGGGGTGGGGCAGCGGCCCCTCCGGGAAGGGTGGGATGCCAAAAAGACTTGTATTATGGGGGAAACAGGCCACCGAAGGGCCCTGTTGCCACCTCAAACATGGCTGTTGCACTATGTGTTTAAACTGTAAACGGTCGAGGGGTCACCCAGCTGGCCCTCCTTGCCCTCCCGGCCCCACTCCTCACCCTATTTCTCCCACACTCCATACTTGAGCCATCAGGCACTTTGAGAAGTGATTGAGATTTGCTTTGCTGCTCCATTCTTTGTCCTCACGTCCAGGAAGACTCAGGCTGTGGCCTGTCAGGGACACCAGTTACCGCACTTCCCTGACGTGGTTCTGGGGGCCAGGGAGCGGGCCGTCCCAGCTCTGCCTCACAGCTTTTTTTTTTTTAACCCTCACTTGAGAATACGTTTATTAGTTTTTAGAGAGAGAGGAAGGGAGAGAGAGAGAGAAACATCAATGTAAGTGAAAAACATTGATCGGTTGCCTCCCACACGTGCCCAAGGAACCCAGGCATGGGCCCCAGCGGGGAATGGAACCCGTGACCGGTTGGTGTATGGGGACATTGCTCCAACCAACGCAGCCACCCAGCCAGGGCACAGCTTTCTTTCTTTCTTCTTTACCAGACACACGCGGCCCCTTTCAGAACTGCAGTAGTCATTGCCAGGAAACAATTTAAACGTCCAATAGAAGGGGTAAGTCTTAAGCGGATGTCCCCATGGAACATCCACTCCATGGATTATTTCTAAGTATTAAAAGCAATGTCTGCAAGAGTTTATAAAGGCATGGGGAAATGCTTTTTCTAAGCCATTAAGTGAAAAAAAGCAGGATATGAAATTGTACGTGCAGTATTGGGTTAGATACGCAAAACAAACCTGCACATGCTAAGAGAAAATGACTAGAATCCCCTTAGAATACGCTCGTGTTTGCTGGGCTGACTGGCTTCACTCTGAACCTTAAATGGGTGCATAAATGGCCCAGCTTACCCCCCTCTCCCATCCTGGGAAGTCTGGTTAATGGTTCTCCTCAAAGACCCTCACTCTTGTCTCCTCACTCTCAGCTGGTGACGTCATTCTTCACAGAGAAAATAGACGCTATCAGCAGTCATTCCTTCAGCTTCATGCATACCTCACCCATCTCTGTGCCTTCCCTCCAGGACCATGGATGAAGGGTCCCGTTCCTTTCAAAAGCTAGTCCCCCATCCCTGGATCCGCCTGTCTCCCCTTTTCCAGCCCTCACCTCTCTCTCTGCCTCATCCATCTCTCTCTTGCCCTGCCTCCCAATGGGACAGTCACCTCCAGAACTGCTGCCTTTTGCCTCTCTGTATATTCCTCTTTACCCACATTCTAGAACCAGGATTCTTTCCTTTTTTCAATTAAAAGTGTTTCAATTACAGTTGACATTCAATATTATATTAGTTTCAGGTGTACGGCATAGTGGTTAGACAATTATAAAACTTATGCGTGATCCCTCAGGTAAGTCTACTACCCACCTGCAGCCTACATAGAGTTATTGCAATATAACTGATTGTGTCCCCTATGCTGGTCTTTACATCCCCATGACTATCTTATAATTGTCGGTTTGTACTTCTTAATTCCTTTGTCTTTATCACCCAGCCCCTGACTCCCTCCCATACGGCAACCATCAGTTTATTCTTTGTATCTAGGAGACTGTTTCTGTTTTTGTTGTTGTTGTTCTTTAGATTCCCCATGTAAGTGAAATCACATGTATTTGCCTTTCTCTAACTTATTTCACTTAGCATAATACCCTCTAGGTCTATCCGTGTTTCTGCAAATGGTAAGATTTCATTCTTCTCTATGGCCACTTAGGCACTTAAGTTATTTCCACATCTGGCTATTGTAAAGCATGCCGCAATAAGCATAGGGATGCATGTGTCTTTTTAAATTAATGTTTTGGATTTCTTGGAATAAATATCCAGGAGCAGGATTGCTGGGTCATAAGGTTGTTCTAGTTTTAATTTTTTGAAGAAACTCCATATTGTTTTCTATAGTGGCTGCACCAGTATACAATCCTCACCAACACTTGTTTGTTGATTTATTGACAATAGCCTTTCTGACAGGAGTGAGGTTATATCTCATTGTGGTTTTAATTTGCATTTCCCTCATGATTGAGCATCTTTTCATATGTCTACTGACCATTTGTATGTCTCCTTTGGAGAAGTGTCTATTCAGGTTGTCTGACCATTTTTTAACTGTAGTTATGTGTGTGGGCGTTGAGTTGTATGAGTTTTTTAATAAATTTTGGATGTTAACCCCTTATCAGATGTATCATTGGTGAATATCTTTTCCCATTTAGTAAGTTGTCTTTTTGCTTTCTTGATGGTATTATTTTTTTAAAGGTTTTATTTATTTATTTTTACAGAGAGAGGAGGGAGAAAGAGAGGGAGAGAAACATCGATCGGTTGCCTCTCGCATGCCCCCAGCCGGGTACCTGGCCCGTACCCCAGGCATGTGCCCTGACTGGGAATTGAAACGGTGACCTTTCGGTTTACAAGCTAGCACTCAACGCACTGAGCCCCACCAGCCAGGGCAAGTGATCTATTTAAAACATAAATTAGAAGATATCGTGCCCCTGATTACAGTTTCCAATGGCTTGTCAGGAATAAAGCCCTTAAAAATAAAAAAGAATAAAACCCTGCCCACGGTGTGCCGTGGCTCCCGCTGCCCACTCCAGCCTTACGTTTTCCTTCTTCCGTCACCTGTCGGCTTCCAGTCCCACTGCCCTGCTCATTTTCTTAAATACATATCCAGCTTGTTCCTCCATCAGGTTCCCCTACTAATTCCTCTAATTCTCCCTCAGCCAGTTTCTTTCATGATTGATTTAATGAAAAAAAAAATTTTTTCAAATAATCACCTTCTCTTGGAAGCCTTTTAGGATTTAGTGTCCATTTAGTTTCCATTATTTTGGTCAATTTAGCAGCTTCAACGAGAGAAAACAACCTTTTGCAACTAGGTAGTCAGCATCTTCATTTCTTTTTTTTTTTTTTTTATTTGTTGATTTATTGGTTTTAGAGAGAGAGGGAGGGAGAGGCAGGGAAACATCAATTTGTTGTTTCACTTATTTATGTGTTCATTGGTTGATTCTTGTATATGCCCTGACCAGGGATTGAACCCACGACCTTGGTGTATCTGGACAACATTCTAATTAACTGAGCTACTCAGCCAGGGCTCTTTATCCTCGTTTCTTATAGTCTGATACAATCCTTACAGTCATTTATTGCTTCATGCCTTCTTGAGTAGAGTCTTGTACAGTACACATTGTTTGCCTGAGCTGGACACTGAGCCGATAAGGCAGCACAACAGGCTCTGAAATTGGATGGCCCTGGGTTCAAATCAATCCCAGCCCTGCCACTTCCAAGCTGTATGACCTTGGACAAGCATTCCAGTAGCCCATTGAAGTGTAACAAACTACCCCAAAACTTAGTGGCTTAAAACAACAATATTTATTTTGCAGTTTGGGACAGCTCATTTCTGCTCCACTTGGCATTAGCTGGGGCAGTGCCAATGCCAGGCGCTGAATTATCTGACGGTTCACTTTCTCATCTATCTGGTGGTTATCTGGGACCAGAGCTGAAGTTGTTGGCTGGAATTCCTTCACGTGGCCTCTCCATGAGACCTGGGCTTCCTCCTAACGTGATGGCTGCGTTCCAATAGTAAATGGAGAGAGATGGAGAGAGAGGAAAGGGCGGTGGGGGGTGGAGTGGGGGGGGGATTATGCTGGGTGGAGCCATATTGTCTCTCAGAGCCTAGTCTTAGAAGTCACAGTGTCACTTCTGTCATTCTCTATTGGTTGAAGCACTGACAAAGGGAGGCTCAGGTTCAAGGGGAGGGAACATAAACCACATCCTTCAAGTGGAAGAGTGTCAACGCCGCACAGTAAAAAGAGTATGGGCTGAGCTATATATATACTACTGTGCCTATCTTTGGAAAATACAGTTAGCGACAAGTTTTAACCTTTATGAGGTTCTGAACTGAAGTGTCGAGCACAGAGCCTGGCAGAGTGAGCGCTCATGGGTCCGGAAGCTGCAGACGGCCTCTCTGCCTGTACGCAGCCAACCCTGGACACCTAGCAAGTCTCCCTCCTTTTGCGGTTTCCCCTGTCTGAACTGAGCCCCTGGCCAGAGCCCCTACCTTGGCTCCACCCTACCCCGGGACCTCTTCCTACCAACACCTTGCTCTTCCCCAGGCTCTCTTGGGGATGTAAGTGGATCAATGGCTCCCCTAAATTCAAATGCCCTCAGAGCAGGAAGGGCCTTCAGCCCCCTGATCAGCCATGAGGGTTGGGGCTCAGAAGGATACATGGTAGAGCTAGGACTTGGGCCCAGGCCCAAGTGCGGAGATCCAGGCCACTCTAATTTCAGGACCATGGGTGTTAGGAGTGGCTGAGCCAGCCTAGTCTAGCATGTCCCCAGCCTAGATTCACACCATTCAACATCTCCAAGCCAACATTCTGCATAGCAGCAGAAACTGAATCACAGAGAGGGTAAACAGTTTCCAAGAGCTACACGGCATCTTTCTCTGTGCCAGACCAGAGCCACCTTATGAGAAACAGGAACATCAGAGTTGGAAGAATCCCATCATCTGTTGCAGCAGACTAGGCCAGGTGGGACTCTGAGTCCCAGGAAGTGAGAAGGGCCATCCTGGTCCATGCCCTGGTGCCACAGCATGCCACCCTGTTTGCAATGGAGCTTTTGGCTATCTCCCCTGGTTTCCTGTGTCCTCCAGGAGGCCAGGAACACACCGCTGACAAGTCTACCACTGAGTCCTTCAGCCTCCTACCTGGTGCCTGCGGACCAGGTGAGTGGACAGTCAGTGGGGGCAGGGGAGCCGGTGCCTTGCTGGGAAGGGGTTGAAAAGCCCCTGAAGAAGTGTTTCCCCTGAACTAAGTCTGTTCCTTACTTGGCTCAGTGCGGGGGCACCTGGAGGAAGGATCTGAGGTGGAGGGGGCATCCCACACCTGGCCACACCTAGATGGGGATGAAGCCATGCCTCAGGTGAAGGGGATACTCCAGAAATGTATTCCCTGCTGTGGGGAAGGTGAGACAAACACGGAAGTGGACCTGGTGCCAGCTGCGCATCAAAGGCAGGGGGAGCTGAAGGAACAGGTTTGGGGCGGAGGAAGAGGAGGAGTAAGGAGAAAATGGGCAAGTGGAAGAAAAGAGAGAAATGGAAAAAAAGGAGAACACCTCATCTTCCTGACCCATGGGTGCTTTGGGAGGAGGCCAAGGAGGGGACGGGGGGGGGGGGCAGGGGAAGGAACAAGAGTGTGCAGAAGGGCAAACACAGCCCTACCTCCCACCCCAGTGGCAAAGGGGTGCCATCCTAAGGGTGAGCGAACAGCCGACGGGCCCCTAAAGGCCTATCTGGGTCTGCCCAGCGGGGGTTCAGAGACAAGGAGTAGCAGCGAGGAGCGGCTTACGGGGAAGGGGTGGGGAGGAGTGACAGACACATGGGAAAGTCTGCATTCGCGGAGACAGCGCTAGAAGGAAAGAAAGACTTCCCCAGAGCAGGGGCCGGGTCGTCCGCAGTTGCTCTCGCGAGAAATATGTAGGGCTCAGGGCTACCGTCTGCAGCCCATGCCAGCCACCACCGGGGTCAGAACCTACTCCCAAAGCATCGCTATTCTCAAGCCTCCTAGAGGGCCGCCTCCATCTTAGCAGTGCAGAGCCTGAAACTGGGGTCTCGCAGGAGGGAGAATGTCTGGGATCACAGCCGGTTAAGATGTGCACGGCCGCCCTGCACCTAGGGGCTCCACGGTGCCTACGTCTTTAACAGGAAAGCTGAGGCAGAAGAGCCGAGCACGCCCTCGAGTTGTGAGGTTTGAGGTTTGGGATCCATTCCCGCTTTGCCAGTCGCCTTGGCCTAAATCGCGAGTCTCCCCAGGCTTCAGTTTACCAATCTGTACTATGGGATAATTGGTCTCTTTATACCCCGTTAAGGGGGCGGAGTTCGCGCACGCTCCGCAGAGCGGCTAGAGGCGAGGTACCGGCTGTGTATATGGATGCTTGCTCCTGCGTGCTGAGGTCCGCCCGGCCTCTACCTGGGAGTACCCCCTCTTGCCGCTCGCGGGGCCCCTGCCGGGACCCTGGGCGCAGGGGAGCCCCCGCTGGGTGCATTCCCCAGGACCGCAAGGGAGGGGACGGCGGCAGAGCGAACGAGGAGGGCGTCCGGGCCGCGGCAGCCCCGGCCCGCCTGACCCTCGAGGGGGTCGCTGTTGCCTCGCAGATCCCTCCCTCGCTCGCTGCCTGTGTCCCTCCCTGCCGCTCCCGCCGCGTCCGCCTTTTGTTCGCGGAGCCGCGCGCCCCCGAGCCGAGGCGGCGGGGCGGGGAGCTGGCGGGGCTGCGCGGGGGGCGGGCCGCGCCGGGCGGAGCCGGGGCCCGAGCAGCAGCGGCCGGACTCGGAGCCCGAGGGAGCGATAGGCGCGCAGGCAGCCGGGGCCCGGGTGCGCTCCGAGGGCGCGGCGAGGCCGAAGGGGCGGGCGCCGGGCGGAGCCGCAGCCGGAGCCGGGGCGCCTGGAGGCGAGCGGGCCGCTCTCTCCGAGCTCAGAGTAGCGGAGAGACCGTTCGACGAGGGCTGGGGCCTGAGCGCAGTGCCGGGGCTGAGGTGGGCCGAGAAGAACCGCGGCCCGGGCGCCTGGAGCGGAACCCGGACCCTCCCCAGGGGTGCGGAGGCCGGGCGGGCCCGGGCCATGCGCGCCGCTCGCTGAGGCCAAGGGAGGCCGAGATGGAGGCGCCGGCGGGGGAGTCCCCGGCCCGGGGCTGCGGCCCCCCGCCCGCGCCTGCCCCAGAGAGGAAAAAGAGCCACCGCGCGCCGTCGCCGGCTCGGCCCAAGGACGTGGCCGGCTGGTCGCTGGCCAAGGGCCGCCGAGGCCCAGGCTCGGGCGCTGCAGCCGCCTGCAGCGCCGCGTCCTCCGCGCGGCCCGACAAGAAGGGGCGCACGGTAGCGCCCGGGACGCGGGGCTCAGGGACGCGGGTCGCTGGGGTCCGTACCGGAGTCCGTGCCAAGGGCCGCCCGCGCCCGGGGACCGGGCCGCGACCGCCTCCACCGCCCCCGAGCCTCACCGACAGCAGCTCGGAGGTGTCGGACTGCGCGTCGGAGGAGGCGCGCCTGCTGGGCCTGGAGCTGGCTCTGAGCAGCGACGCCGAGTCGGCGGTCGGGGGCCAGGCGGGGGCCCGCACCGGGCAGCCGCCCCAGCCCACGCCGCCCTCACAGCAGCCTCCGCGGCCGCCCGCCTCCCCCGATGAGCCGTCGGTGGCCGCGTCGTCGGTGGGCAGCAGCCGCTTGCCATTGAGTGCCTCACTCGCCTTCTCCGACCTCACCGAGGAGATGCTGGACTGCGGGCCTGGAGGCTTCGTGCGGGAGCTGGAGGAGCTGCGCTCGGAGAACGACTATCTCAAGGTTGGGGCGCTGATGGGGGAGAGGGAGGCCCCGGGAGGCACCCGTTGTCACAGCCCCGCGGGGCTGAGGTACCAGCCGGTCCACTGCCCCGCCGAACGAGCTGGCAAAAGGAGCCTGAACCCTCGGAGACCACCCTACGGTTGATCTAGGGCTCCCTCACATCTCACCTCCCCTTTTCTTTGGGAAACCCTCTCCTGTGAGGAAGCTGAATGAGGAGACTGGCCAAAGGGTTCTGATTTGGGAAGGGGAGGAGGGCTGAGAAAACTGCTTTGGAGGACGCCAGCATGGCAGAGGGGCTGGACCCCTGGCTTCAGCTGCTCAGAACCCCCATCCCCAGGCCGGAGGCCTCCTTTGGTGGATCTCCTTTTTCGGTACAGGCACTGGTGTGCAGCTGCCTAGGAGACCTGTGGCCAGCCCATGCCAAGAAGAGGCCCGAACACCATTCTGAGTCTTTCCTCAGGGCTTTCCCTAGCACAGGCCTGTCGCCGCCTGCCTTTCAGGGCGGGTCCTGTTTGAAAGCATGACATCTGGGAACATCCCTTTGGCTGGAGTCCGACTTCCGCCCAGCCCAGTCTAACGGTCCCACAGCCTGGGAGGATGATGTCGTGGGAGAACCGGTTCACAGGCAGCTTCCTAAATTCCAGGATACTGTTTTCTGTCCTCTCTGGACAGGCCCTGTGTACACAGCAGCCCGTTGGCCCCTCATGCCCTGGCCCATGTCCTTCCCACATTCCCATAAGAGGAGGGAAGCTGCCCCTCTGAAAGGGCATTTCCTCTGGGCTTGCGGGGGAGGTGAGAGCTTCCCCAGGAGAGCAGGCTTTGCCTTCACCCTTTCCGTGGACATGAGCACCTGCTGGGTGCCGGCCAGCCAGGCGTGGCACTGAGGCAGCTTCAGGGACAGCCCAGACCTGGTGTGTCAACCTTGGCCGGGCAGACTGGAAGCTTTGTGGGCCCTAATCTGCCACGGCTGGGCACAGTTTGGGAAGAGGCTGAAATGTTACCTACTCTCGTCAGTTGATGGCCTGGCACAACACCCCAAGTGCCCCTGGCCGAGAGCCACAGAGTTAACAGCGCTCTGCTGATTTACGGCAGCCTGGCAACACTTAGCTTTGCATCGTGGCTCTGCTGGCCAAATGCATTTCTTTCTCCTCAGAGTTTTTGAGGCCTTGTTCAACTGTGTCTCCCCCTCCCCATTTCCCCAGGATCTGCTATCCAGCATGTGTTCAGTAAATGCTTGTAGAATAGAAGGACAGGGCCTGTTTCAATCAGGGTAGCCCACCCCTGGTTAAGCCTTCCAGAAGGTGCTCAGTGTTGACAGTCGGGTTCGTTCAGCTCCTGTAGTCTCCAGAAGCCAGTGTTGAGGAGAGGACAAGCAGAGGGTGGGTAGGAGGAAGGCGACAAGGCAGAAGGCCCGGCACTGCCCTCTTGGTGCTCTGAGGTGCTTCCTGTGCTTTCTGCCTGAGATGCTCTAAACTCAGACCCTGAGGTCCTCAACCCACCTCCTGCCTCCACTGTTCACCCTGGATAGAGAAGATGGGTCATAGAGTTTGCTTCAGGGTCCCCGCATGCACCCACTCCTGTGGCCTGCTGTCCACCCCAGGAAGTCACCAGGCAGAGCTCGAGTCCAGCTGAGCCACCCATCCCTGTTCAGATGAGACACAATCCCAAAAGGCTGGGGGTTGAGTCTAAGGTCTCCCCGGGGGCTGGGCCTGGTTGGGGACCTCCCACAGCTGAGGCAGAGCCTCAGTTTCTCTCATTCATTCAATGTTTCAGGCTTTGTATGCAGGCCTCAGGCCACTATTGGATTTGGGGTCTGTAGCTTCCTGGCTGTGTGACCTTGGTCAAGTTAGTTAATGTCTCTGGACCTCAGTTCTCTCATTGTCAAAAGGTGTATCACCCGTCCTCCAACCTTAAGGGTTAAGTGAGATAATGTGTGCAAACACCACTAGAGCGTCTGGCATGTAGTGAGCCTCGGATGAGAGTAGCTGTCACCACTGCTATTCTCAAGCGGTATGTGACACATTTCCATGGACGCCTTTTATGTTCTCTTGTGGATTCTGTGGGGGCAGAATAGATCCTCCTCCCCATCTGCAGCACGCTGGGCTCTTTCTGCCGACTTCTCATTCATTCATCAATTTATTTAGTGCCTACTGTGTACCAGGCACCGGTGCAGATCGCGGGGGGGATGCAGCCATGGACAAGGATGAAGTATCTGCCTTCATGGAGCCGTGGGTCCAGTCGGGGAGACTGGGATTAAACAATAGTCATACGGTAAATCACAGTGCGGACCGTGATACGAGTGGAGAAGGAAACGGTGTGCCAAGAGCACATGGAGGTGGGTCTGGGGGTGCTCAGAGAGGCCAAGGGCTGAAGGTTGATGTGGAGCCAACGGAAGTAGAAAAAAGCTAGTTGATTTCGAGGAACAGCAAGCCTCTAGGCTGGATAGAAGAAGGAGCTTTGATGAGAGAGGCAGGCAGGGCCTGAGTGCACAGTTCTCGCAGTGTACGCTTCGGTTGGTCCCTGAACTTCCCTAGAGCTTTGTTTAACCCAGCAGCCAACCTCACAGAGGTGAGGTGAAAACCTGGAGATTGAATGGGACCGTAAGTGTAGGAACTAATACGGGAGGTGTTGATTTGTTCATCCTACAGAGGGTAAACCATGGCCAGAGTGCGGAGGGCCTGCAGGTCCCAGAGCTGGTTCTCCAGGCAGCATGACTCTCTTGATGTGTTTCCTGTCCCTCTGGGCCACTTTGCTTCTAAGATGCATGAACTGAGTTACCAGGAGAAGGGATCTAGGTCCCCAGTGTGTCCCCTGCAGGCCCCATGCTCCTTGGCTTGTGTCCCATAGGATTTGGCGGGGCCCTTCTCAGGCTCATCTTCCAGCTGGTGGGGGACACGGAGTCGTCAACTGGGGAAGGCCTCTCGGCTGATGGCAGATCTCCTGTCACATGATGCCACTCTGGGGCCCAAGTGGGGCAAGTCTCCGTGGGCAGCTCTCTTCCAGTGAGATGGTAGAAGGAGCTGCTACAGAGAAGGGAGTAAGCTCGCTGTCACTCGAGTTATTCAGAGAGGCTGGGTGACCTCGCCTGTTTGGATAAAGATGGAGGCTTTGCGGAAAGCAGCTTGTAAACTGTAGAAAATGTTGATGGTTGTGATTATTCGAGGAGGATTCCGGAGGAGATTCACGTGGTGGCTACAGTCGACCTGCCTGACCTCAGGGTCCCTTCCAGCCAAGGACGCCTGAAAGTCACTAATTTTCGCAGTTCCAGGATTCAAAGGTGCAGCTTCAGCTGCAGAGCAGACACAGGGACTGTGTTCAACCTTCAAAGCCCTGGTGGTCTGAGATCTTCCAGCTCCCTGTCACCGCTAACGGTCACCACCATGGGGGGAGGAAGTGCTGGGAACCCACTGGCTGGCAGAATCTGAGAGTAGGAGCCCAAAGACCTGTCTTTGAGACCTAACTCTGCCTTTTCCTGTGTGGCCATGGACAAGTCACTTGGCCTCTCGGAGCTACTTTTTGTTTTCATCTACATAATTACGATTATGGAACCTGCCTGGGCAACTGCATAGAATTGCTGTTGGGAATAAGGAAGGTGTGACTAGAAAAGAAAACACTTTGCAAGCACTGAAATCCTGCATCTCTTGAGGAATTGTTAATATTTTAACCAATGAATAGACAGGATGTCTGTGTTTTCATTCTTGGGGGAGCTGGGAGAAGCCTGGAGGGTGGGTCCCCTTAGCTGTAGGATATTAATAAATCGGGAGCTGCTCCAGAAAGGAAAAAAGGTATGATCACATTCCATGCTGTGTGGGCTCTGTGAAGCAAAGCCTTCCCACCCTCTTGGAGGGGATTTGAATGTTTGCAGTACAGCCCAGATGTCAGCCCAGAAGGGCCCAGAGGAAGCATCTAATCCACCCTAAGCTCCCATTGTACATATGGGTAAATGGAGGCTCCAGATCACACAGCCAGGGTTCCAAACCTGAGTGGTCTAACTCTGGGTCCTATTCTTTCTCCAGGATGACTGGAACAGTGAGCTTTTGGTTGCTAACGGCGTATCTAGTCTGGGACACGGGTTGGTGAGGAGACTCCTGTTGTGTGCCAGGCTCTAGGCAGAGAGTAGCTGGGAACAAGTGGAGACTAACACATGCTGGGGCAGGCGGGGGAGGGGCATACGTGTGTGCATGCATGTATGTGAATATGTGCCCGCTCTAATGCAGACTCTTATTGGGACCGGGGATCTGAGATCCTGGAGGAAGCATGGGGGTTTGGGTCCAGCCTTGAGGGCCTGGTACTGGTCGGGCTGAAGCCCAGGGTGCTAGAATGTTCGAGTTGGCCTGGGGACCCCCAGACCACCGATCCCTGGATTTTTATGGCCCTTGTCTCACAAATGCTGTCAACTGTTGGTTACTTCTGATGTGCCAGGCTCTGGGTTAAGTAAGCCCTTTATTCCTCATAGCAATCCTGTGTGGAAGGTTCTGATATCAGACCCATTGGGTAAATGAGGAAACCAAGAAGCTATGTCACGTGGCCAGATGTGCACAGCAGATATAATTGGGGACCACACTAGACAGCGCTATGGAGCTCTTCTCCCCTTGTTGCTCTTCCTTTCTCATGTGGGAAGCAGCCTCAGTTTCACAGAGTGGGGTTCTTGCCGATCTTGTCATTTACAAGCTGTGTGACACTGGGTGAGATACTCAGCCTTTCTGAGCCTGTCTCTTCTGTGAAATAGGAACTAAGCATGCCTGCCCCAGGGCCGCGGGGACCCTTTTCAGTGGGATGATACAGATCAGGGGCACAGTAAATGTCACTGCCTCTCCCAGTCCTCACCTTTCTCTTACCTGCTTCCCTAGACCATTCATTCATTCGTTCATTCAACACGTTTTCCGAGTAACCAGGCCAGCAAGTTGTGAAGTTCTTCTCAGCTCCTGGGAGCTTTACGGGGATGGCTCCAGTCCGTCTGTCACTGGATGGGGGAGAGGGGTGGTCATCCTGGTCAGTAG